GACAAGTTTTGACTTTTCTGATCATTCAGCATATGTTACGGCGGACCTTTGGGTAGTGTTTATGCTGTTAATTTCCCAACCATTGTGTGTAGAGCAGCAAGCAGCTGCTGTCATACCATGAACTTGAACAAAAATGGTGACTTAATTGCAGCAAGCTAGCTAATTGTAGGTTCCCTGTTTCTAAGCGATGATGGGCTATCAAGGAGGCATAACTATTTGGAACACTGTGGTTGTGTTTACGATTGACTGGTGGCTTAACAGGCGGCCTCAATTCGACAGGTCTGTTTTCTTCTGCCGTTTATTTTACCTTCACGGTGGTACGAGGTGCCACACTTTCATGCAAATGTTTATGGTGTTTTGTTTTTTAGATTGTTCGCTTTGGCTGATATTAGCTCCAGGTGTTGTTGTGATGATAGGAGAATGCTGGGATGCAGTGAGACCGTGTGGACTTATGTGTGAAAGCCTACAGAGTGTGCAACTGCTTCGGAGGATAGTCACCATCAGTATTTTCAAGTCCGAATATGATGAAATGCCCAATCTGCTGAGAGCAGACTGTGACGCACTGAAGTTGCTTGAGGGAGTTGATGGGTTATCAGAGGAATCCAAGTCAGCCGTGGGCTTACCATCCCAGTGAAGTGATCAAGTGCATTAAGATCGGCCCTCATCCGGCTACCATCACATCTTGTAAGTAAGAGATATTAGATATACGATGTTGACGTCTCAGAGAAGGGAATTTAGGGTGCTGTTTGAATTTGGGGGAGTTTGAAGCTGCGATCAGTTATTTAGCAGCTCGTCTTTGGATTGAAATTTTGTCACGGGCTGTCTATAGGTGTGTTTAGCCTTGAGTTCAAGTAGTTCTCGCCTACTCTACAGCGTGTATGCACCAAGTGACGAGGTGAAGTCAACAATAGCTGGACAAGACTTATTCTTCGAGGAATTTTTGCGTCAGTGATGAGTGCACATTATTTAATTTGCAGAGTAAGCCTTCGGAAATGTGCTACTCATCTGACCAAGTTGAGTGGCGTTAGGGGCATCACTAATAGTAATGTTCTTTTCATGTGTAATATGCTGGTGCATTACCGTTGCGACGAAATCTGAGGCCTGAGATGGGTGTAAGTGATGAGAATGTGGTATGGAAAAAATCGGTGTGGTTGAGATGACATTCTTATGACTTCTTCCTGCAGTTTTTCATCAAGAACAAACGTTTCACCGACTTTGAAACCTGGTTTCTATGCCTGCGTCACTGGAAAGCAGAAGTAGGCTATGCAGTTAATGTCGCACGTTGACGACTACGCAGGAGATAGCCTTGATAACTTGGTAATTAGCTACATAACCATTTTGGATGTTTTCAATAACATTAACCACTAGAAAAGGTGAGGAGAATGTGACATTCGTGGCCAAGTTAACCAGGAAAACTGAAGATGTGGAAGCATATTTCCTGGGCCTGGAAGTTTCACCAGCATCCGTAAATCTGAGTCTTTTGATAGAACCCCCATGAATAAGAGATATATTATGCCAAATCGGGTTTGGCGTCATAACAAAATTTATATGGCAAAGGTTTATGAAGCTGTTCCCGCATCTTAGTTCGAGAATCTGGATCTTCAAGTTGTCAAAACAAGTTTACAAATACTAAGCGCGACATTAAACAAGTAAAAATAGTAGACCATTCTAAAGTGGACACTTAAGCTAGAGACTGAAATTAACAATGTGGCAGTAATTTGGTAGTAGCAAAGTTCTATCGAGTGAGCAATAACTGGTATGTATGCCACCACGGTATGGCACAACGGATTTTACGAGTTATTGATAGTCATCGCTGTGGGACGCGCAGTAAGCAAAAGATCATTGCTGTCAGAAGTGGTCCTAGAGTACAGGTTGACAACTCTTTTGAATAAACGTTTGCAGCCATCAAAAGATGCAGCCTGTTTACTACACAGAAGAATGGTGTGCAACAATCCTTCCATGATTATTGAACTATTTGGTGAATCGATCTCAAATTTTACCCAACTAGTTTTACTGCAATTACTGCAAGTCCATGTACCAAGGTGGATACGCTGCCATTCTTTCTCAAGATATTCACTTTATCAATTGAAAGCGGGGATTTTCCTACAGAGTGAAAAACAAGCTTTATATTTCCTCGCAACGAGTCCGGTGGCGCAGCGAATGCTAGTAAACATAGACCTATCCACATAATGCTAGTCGTCTCTCGGATAATGGAAAGAGTGATTACCAGCAGCATCTGTGATTACCAACCTAGAGGAAACCTTGTTAAAAGGCTCAGCGAGGTTTCGTCGAACACAGGTCCTGAGCTACTCGGGGTTTTGATTTCTCCAACCTTATCAATAGAAGACACATGGCACATAAAATCGTCATCGTTCTATACTTCGATATGTCAAAGACATTTGGCAAGGTGATACAGTGTATCCTTTGACAAGCTACAATGGATAAGTACTCGTGACCCGTTGCTTTGCTGGCTGACATCATTTCTTAGTGATCGTAGTCAAATTGTTGAAGTAAACTCTATGCTGCCTAAACCAAGGCACATAACTAGTGGAGTAATGCAAGGCAGTGTATTTGGTCTTTTGCCGCTTATAACTTATTATTAGTGTGTGCAAGTGCTTCACTGCGGGGGAAACATTTTTAAACGCCGATGATCTTAAGGTTGAGTACTCCTTTCACAATCGCCATCTACTGCTCAACAAGAATTAAGTTAGGTTGCTAAATGGTACGACTAGTCCAATCTCAAGTTCAACATTGATAGATATGGTTGGCTTAGCGTAGCTAGCGACAACCTGGATGTGTCCCTCAAAGTGGGTGCAAAAAATACCTTGACGTTCTTCAGTGATGAATCTTGGTTTCAGATATTCCAGTGACTTAAAATTCTCCAAACAAACATCGTTTACCAGATCTTAGCCACGTAGATGCACCATCCGTAACCTGTATAGTACTGAATCAAAGGCCCTGGCCTACACAGTGTGCGTCCGCCCAGTTTTATAATACTGCCGTTTATTCTAAGTGGGTTTCTCTACCGTTATCAGTTTGATAGTGCCTGTAAACCGGCCCCTGCTATGTTAAATTACCAGCCTGAGGGTAAAATATTTACTTGTCTATTTACGAAAAGCAGGACTGGAGATATTCCTGGGCGGAGTAGAGCTTCCATACATGTTAATGAAATACGGAGGAAGTGAAGATGTAATTCGAGGCGTTTTACTATCTCCTGTTTAATTGAAAACATTTAAAGAAGAACCTAGTCGTCGCGATACCAGAGTTCACAGCGGCGCCCATAAAAGAAAGAGAAGACAGAAAAAGAAGCAAGAGCAGCCTAGGGCATACCACTGAATCACGTGAAGTTGCCCGTGGTGAATGTGGGACAACTTGTTGGTTATTATAACATGGAACATCTATTCAATATGGCTTGACAAAATGAGTCGATGGAACTTTTCATCCTATCTCAGGATGAACTCTATGCTGGTCACAACAATTGTTTCCAGTATTCCGTTGATGGCACACCACTACTTCCAGTCTTTGAACTAAAAAACTTGGGTGTCATCAACAGTCATGATTTGAAAACCTCGGCAGGCTGTAACACAGCTGCAGCTAAGGGCTTCCGTATATTATGGTCCTTCGCAGAACCCTCAGATGTTTTGATGAGGACATGTTTAGAATGCTCCACTCTACTTGCGCCAGACCCCGCTTGGGATGTTGCATTCAGGCGACCAGTGCATGCCTAAGAAAGGATGCTGACGCACCCGATCATGCCCAGAGGGCAGGTACTAAGCTTGCGATAGGACTTTCGAATCTGTCCTATGAGGAACGACTAGATCAGCTAAACTTGTTCCCATTGTCTTACCGCAGAAGACGGGGTGATCTCATACGGGCATTTCGCATTCTTAACAGTGACTTCGTTACTAATATATCATATGTTTTCCCGTTGCTAGGACGGACTACCTCCGATGGCATCACAAGAAAATTCTAAAACCGCGATCGAATCAACTTGGAGTGAATCTGCGTTTCTCCCACCATGTTGTAAATGAATGGAACTCCTTACCTCAGCAACAGGTTCAAGGAGAAACTAGATCCTCACAGAGATATCTTCTGCAAGGATTAACACAGGCCAACTGGACTACTATCCTTATATAACTGAAAACTGAAGGGACCGAAGAGATCGGTCTATTGTTTAAGAAAGGTAGTTTATTTCCATCTTCATTTAGAAGGGCAACAGTGGCTCACTTTCAATCATAAGGTAGCCTGTCTTTTCGAAACTTGTATATATTTAGAGGTTTTTGGTAGAACGCTAAAATATATCGGAACACAGTGAGTACTTTAGGTGACTACAGCAAATTCCTGAAAATTTACTAGCATTTAAGTTCTCCAACATACCTCTGATATTAGGAATTTCACTTTTTAACTTCGTGAGATCGCCTACAATCTGCATATATATACGCTAAGGATTGTCTTGTTTTTCGGGGCTAATTAATATTCTAAACGAAGGTCATAGGTGTCGGTTACTTTTTAGAAATTTACCGCTAGTTTGGATGGCAGACGAACAGTGCTCTGTGAATTTCACTCTGTCAGTAGATCTTGACTTCAAGTCTTTGGAGGATGTTGGCACCTGTATTGACGCTACCATTCTTGGATGTAAGCATAGGAAGGTTGTTGGCGTTACAGGCTCTCTGGATGTGCTTGGTTTGTGGAATCCTGAAAAGGCTCTCTTTTGCAAGCACCAGGGAACAAATCTTAATAAGTATTAGTATAAATCACATTTAAACCCCTTGCAGTGTTGAAACATGGAGATGCCATCTCACACTCCAAGCACTTCCTACATTTTATTACCGTTTCTTCGTGGCAGAACTTGTTGAAACTAACGATGAATATTCTGACCCACGAATATTGAGGTTTTGGTTTGGGAGTCACGGCTGAAGCCTAGAGAATTTTGTGTTACAGGTGACTGAATATATTTTTTAACAGCCACAGATTACTTAAATACCTCTGACAAAAAGAAGATGACGCATCTAGAATTTGGTGTTTTTGGTAGGTCACATGAATTTTTTGTCATACGCATTAGGAGACGGAAAGTTCGTCCAGCGTGGCTGGTTGATGTCAAATTCGGAAATCCATATTCGTCTGTCAAGTACTTCTTGCAAATTTTTTAAAAACAATATTTGCGCTCCTCACAATCAACTGTTTGTCTCCTGCTCTAGATTCATATTGCAACCTACCTGCATTGAGGATGAAGATGCGGAGTCGCGTAAGTTTTGTAATCTTGGTCGAAAATTTTTGCTTTAAGACTAATCTTGCAAGTGATATTACTACTTAAGTGCTCTTGGGCAAAAACTTTAACCTTTGAAATCCGATTTCCACCCACTCCACTTATTGATAAGTTCATGACACACAGCATATTATAGGTGTTCTTTGTTTTGTGGTTTGTTTGAATGGTTGGTAGATAGACCTTACCGTGAAAGGAAACTCATGTTGATAACTTAGGTGTTAACATGCCCTTTATGCAGCATAAGGGGTTTTCTTCATTGTATCCATTTCTGATGGCGCTATCTAGTGTCGAGTATCTAGTACAATTTGGTTGTGAAATGTCTGTTGCCCATGTCTTAATTGGAGTTACAACAGACCTATGTTCGATCTTCACATTTCTAAAAGACTTGTTGCCAGTCCAAGATGTTTCTTTCCAGCTCAGCTGCTTAGATTGTTAGTAAATACAGTCTTGCCACAACAATTTACATTTGCCAAATAATTTGGGATCTATACTCTTTACGACTGTTTTAAATATGATCTAACTTATGCCTTTTATTTTGCAATTCTCAGTTCTTATTATTATGTTATTATTGATCCCTTGGGTTCCTAGTGGAACATCGGGCTTCAGTAGCGCGTCTCCATTTCACTCTGTTCTCTGCAGTCTTTTGAACCTGGCTCCATAACTCCCAATAAGCTTTCATTTCTTCTTCATATGATCTCCTCTATGTCACCCTCAGCTAGGACACCCGACTCATCGTTTCCGCTTTGGATTTCATCCGAGGGCCTGACCTGGCGCGTGATATCCATGAATGGTCTTCTCACTGTATGCCCAGTGCAGTCAATCTCCACTTTCTTCTGCATATTTGTCGGGCGATGGATTCTTGGTCGGTTCGTTGCCAGCCAGCCAGAGTTTCTTGTTGCTTATTCTTATTATTCTGGCCATCTGATCTTCAGTATCTAGTGGGTGTAGGTGGCAGCTGTTGATGAATGTCTGTAGTTTGTTGGAAATGCTTTTCGTAACGCACCAAGTCTCAACCATCACATAGAAGCACTCACTGACTTGATTGAAATTAGTCCTGAAAATCCGGATCTTGTTCACGCTTTATGCTGAATGTAGTGGAGTGGAGTAGATCTCCATACTGGTTTTAGATTAATGAAGCGCTGCCTTTCCGATCCTGACTTTGACGTCCTCATCTGTGCCGTCGCCACCACCGCCACCTGTAGTTGAAAGGATGCTGCCTTGCCTAGGAAGGTAGGTGAAATAGACAACATCCTTCAGATTTCTCACGTTGATGATGATCGGTGCTTGTTGTTATTGCTGTTGGTTTGGTATCTTTATCACCTCTGTCTTCTCTACGTTCACTTGTAGTCCCGTTTTCGCTGCCTTTTTTGTCAACTTGTTGGTTTTTGCCTGTAGATCTTCGAGTTTGTGCGACAAGACATTAGACATAAATCATCGTCGGCGTAATCCAAATCTGGGGTCTTTCGTCTGTCCAGCCAGCGTATGCCCATCTTCTTGCTCCTCATAGTTGTCTGTTGCATTATCCAGTCCTGTCCAGTCGACCACAATTAGGAAGATCATGGGTGATAGTAGGCAACCTTGTCTTACCTCTGTTCTCACTTCAAAAGCCTCACTAAGCTTTCCATTGTGAATCACTCAGGATGTGGCGTCTTCATATACCCTTTGAATGAGGTTGATAAAGGTTTGTGGCACTCCGTTGCGTTGAAGAAACTGCCAAATTACTTCTCTGTTGACGATGTCGAAGGCCTTTTCAAAATCCATGAGGTTGAGGTAGAGAGTTGACTGCCATTGTATGTTCTGTTCTATGGTGATGCGTAGCGTTGAAATTCGGTTCGCACATGATTTGTTTTTCCTGAAGTCAGCCTGTTTCGGTCATACTTTTGAATGGAGTGCACCCTTTAGTCTCTGCAGGATGATGCGGCTATATATTTTGCTTGAGGTGGACAGGGGTGGAGCATGATTCCGTGCCAGTTATTGCAAAGACTCCGGTCTTCTTTCTGTAGAAGTTTGACAAGGTAGCACTTCTTCTAATCTGCAGGCACCTTTCCCTCCTTCCAAACGTCCTGCAATAGTGATGTGATGAGGTCCGCTGTTGTCCCTGCGTCTGTTTTCAGTGCTTCTGGAGGAATTCCATCTGGCCCTGCTGCTTTCCCGGCTTTCAGTAGCTTTATGGCGTTCATGACTTCGCTTCTGCTTTTGTCGGATGGTCTGCATTCACTCAGTTCTGTGGCTGGGCTGCTGGTGGTATTTCTGGACGAGGTGCAGGTAATGATGGTGGTCGATTCAAGAGTTTTTCAAAGTGTTCAACCAATTGTTTCCTTTATTTCTCCTCTTTGGTAACTAGGTTTCCTTCACTATCTTTCATTGGTTTCATCTGTGTTGATCTCTTCCCTCGAAGATAGTAACCTGGTTATTTGGTATAATGTCAGATCCCTGTCTCTCCTATATGCGGCCTGTTCTGCTTCACTTTCAAGTGTGTCGTAGAAATATCCTTTGTCTTTCCACGCACTCTTCTTCACTTCTTTGTCCAGTGTAGTGTTTTACAGGTTGTATTCAATTCTTTTCGTTGTTCATCTGGTTCATCTTCTGTTTCACCATCTTCCTCTCCCTCTTCTATCAGCTTCCATGTATCTGCCTGTGTATGTTAGTAAACAACAAATATGGCTTTTCAAAAAATATAGAATGAGAGGTAACTGGTGATGTGACTTGTAGTCAAAATAATATTGTTAGTTATTTTGCACGGTGGTGTTACCTCTACTTTTGATTATCATCCGTTAGGCATACTTTGCAGTTTTACTGTAGTGTTCTGGTCATACAATGAGCTGAACTGATTTTCGCGTCTCGCTTGTTTGTGTACGCTTGTGTTTTACGTGGAGCTTATTTACCCATATTTAGCTGAGAATAAAATCAGTTGTTTCCGCTTACTTCTTAGGATTCCCTGCTTCTAAAATTACTTCTTACATTACATTTTGTTCATAAAAATTGACATATCTTAAATTGACCGACACTGAGAATTATTCGGATCTCAGTACCTATGGCAAACGAGAGTAGCGTATGCTTCTAACTAAAACTTTGTATCTCAGTTTCACGCCACTTGGTATTTAAAGCCATAAATCGCAATCTTTTTGGCGTTTGTTAATGATGACTCTTAATGGTGTTGTCTATAGATAATATGCCTCAGAATCGATTCCAGTAGTGCTGATACATCTACACATCATCATCTCAGTCGTTATAATGAACCGTTGTTATACTCTTCGTTCTTTATTTACCACTTTCTACTCTTGATTACTATTTTCGTGTCTTCATGTACCGATGTGAGGTGTAGCAATCTAGACCGTTAAGCAATAACGTCAGGTCATGTTTGATATTGACTGATTGATATTGGTGAATTATGAGGATTCTGGGCATCCAGTGGCTCGGTGCATTATCACATGTACATCAATCTCATTTTTCTCATGCCTTATTGGACTATATTGGAAATGAATGCTAGTTCTTTGATTGTCTTCACTGAATTTTTTTTATAATCTTGACGACCAGTGTGGATGGGTTCTAGTTGGTCATGCTCTTCAATAGTAGGTTCCATTCATGTATAACATTTTCCTCAGCGATTGTATCTTGTGATTTTCGTTGGGTAATTCCCAGTGGCGGGTGGATAGTTGATAAAACCACTCACTAGTACATATTTCTCATTCATATTATAAAAACTCAAACTAAAATTGAACAAGAATAATTTGAGCGAACAGTTGTTTTCAGCAACTTCTTCAGGCTCTACAGAGAATAAGTGAAATACAATAGCTGAAATAAGGCATGATGTACAATTTTACTGTATTGAGACAGTGTTATGTGTGAATGGAGATCAAATCGAATGGAATGGTGGGACTGTTATCAGTCTAGTGTGTTGGGTGTGCACTGAAATCAATATCGATAGAACAAATACTAAATGAGGTGACAAAATCTACAGATAATGATTCATTCATTTACATTTATTGGCCCATGAATGTGTGTGTGTTTACTATGAGTCAAATACTAGTTATGTAATGACGAGTTATATTCAGGTGGGATGAAAATCATGTGAATACTGTAACGACCGTGACGTAATACTTCACATTTGTTATTCTCTATTTTGTTATAGTATTCACATGATTTTCATCCCACCTGAATATAACTCGTCATTACATAACTAGTATTTGACTCATAGTAAACACACACACATTCATGGGCCAATAAATGTAAATGAATGAATCATTATCTGTAGATTTTGTCACCTCATTTAGTATTTGTTCTATCGATATTGATTTCAGTGCACACCCAACACACTAGACTGATAACAGTCCCACCATTCCATTCGATTTGATCTCCATTCACACATAACACTGTCTCAATACAGTAAAATTGTACATCATGCCTTATTTCAGCTATTGTATTTCACTTATTCTCTGTAGAGCCTGAAGAAGTTGCTGAAAACAATTGTTCGATCAAATTATTTTCGTTCCAAATAATCTGTGAGGATCTTTAAATTGTTAAAATCAAATTGAGTTGTACTAAACGTTTGTAGGTTATCTTATCATCAAATGAGCACCTACCGTATTACCAGGTTTCCAGGTGTTAAACTGAAATAATCTTAACTTATCTTGGTGACCACTTCTTATATCTCGATCGATACATTCAGCTTTACACTAACGCTTAGCACTACCGAAAATGCGATGAACAGTTAAGTTTAATAACTGTCATTAATGTATGAAAATAACACTTATACAAGTTTGGACGTACTCAGAATATAGTAGGTTTAGCATTTGATTCTGCAACTTCTTATTCTAAGCATATCTTTGTGTCCTTTCACCTGTGATTTCGTCCTGATTTGCCTCACCGCCTATGGTGAGATGTTGGGTGAGCTGCGTGTGTCGCGTCATGTCCCCAAGGATGCACACTCTCTCTATTCTTATTCACTTTTATCACGGACGTTCTTACGGTGGTTTCCTCGACATCTAAGTACACAGAAATTGACCTAATTGCAGAATAATTTTTGGTTGACCTAACATACGCATCTGAAATAGTCCTGTTAGGTGAAGACTCTGACAAGATGCAGTTTTCTGGACACCTTGAGCTGCGATTTAAGAATGTTTGAGATGCGTTTCTCACCACCCAATTACAAATTGTTGCTCCAGGACTGGTCTTGAGCAGCGCTCTTGCTGGCAGTAGAGAATGGACTGGTTAGGTACGTTGAACTCTTCACTTATTTAGGAAGTTGGGTCAGCCCTGGTGGCTCAAAGGTCGACGAAATTCCTGCATGAATACAAAAGGTTCCGTTGGCTTTTATCAACTTACGCCATCTGTTGTTCTGCCGCGATATCCGACTGTCTATTGAGGGTCGATTATACTGCACGGAAGTTCTCTATGTTCTACAGTATGTTAGTGAAACATGGCCATTAAACGTGGAGGAAATGAGGTTTCAGGTGTTTGACCACCACTGCCTTCGTAGGATTGGCCGTGTTCCACGGTCTCACTACGTGAGTAACACAAATCAGGTGTAGGGTTTTAGAGAGGAAAGGTAAGATAATTGATTCGGTTGTGAACTTTCATCAACTGAGGTGGCTGTGACATGTGTTACTTATGCCTAGCCACCGTCTGCCTCGTCGCACACTGTTGGCCGAAATAGGTTCAGGCTGGGAAAAGGCTCGGGCTGGCCAGACTAAAACCTGGAATTAATGTATGAAGTTGTTGACTATTGGCTTGAGCTAAGTGGGATCCACAGGATAAGAGAAACTAGTTGTTGAAGACTCTAGGTGATGTGGCTCAGAATTGATGTCAGTGGCGCAGATGTATATACACATTATCCTCATGTTAACCGCTATACTTAATCACATCATTTTCTTGTTTGTTGCTCCTCTCTCTCTCTCTCACTCACTCACTCACTACTTTCTACTTTTGGCAGATTTTTCTTTCCTTCTTCATCTTCCATTTTATTGCCTTGTTAGTTGACGTGCTGATATGAGATGCGACAACTTGGTTTGTTACGCAGTAGTAATGCCTGGTCCTATGTTGATCTTAATAATGATGATGAATCCACATTGGGTACCTTCACCTAGGTAGTCATGGAAATTTATTATCTTAAGAGTTAAATTTATTCTTTTCTCGTTTTAGTTACAAGAGACACTCCAGTACCAAAGTCTGGATGCTTACAAGATCAAGGGACTCCATCATGTGGAACTGAATTGCAAAGTTTAGAGCCTTCATCCTTGACACTTTGGTCTGCAAACAGGATTTCGTATCCTAGTGTGGTTTGTCGACCACATCCTGTTTTCATGTCTACCTTGGAAATCAATCGTTGCCGCGTTCACAGAGGTGAACAACCAGAATGTTCTGGTACACCTTACAAAATTGGTGATGATGTAACTTTTTTTCATCGAAACATGGGATGTGGAGAATACTTCAGTTGAAATAGAGTTTTATCAACAACAAATAGAGTCTTCTGTGAATGACAGTAAGTCAGTGATTTTCATCAAATGAAATGAGGTGCAATCAGAAAATTTTAATGTTTGTTGTGATACCCTTTTCATACAGAAATCTATTCACTTGTCTTAAGTTGGTAGAATTAGTTTATTATGTAGCCCTCTTCTTTCATCTTTTTCCTACAATTTAACTCTTGAATTTGAAAGAAGTTAAACTTTCAAAAGCATCAAAAAATATATATTACAATGTAAATATCTAACTTTGGACACATTGGCATTTCGCATAATCACATCAAGTTTATCATACAACTTCTTAACTTTCATAGTTACGCTACTTTCCTTTGTCTGATTTCATTGGCAGTAGAACTTTCTATATATGAGGTGTCGGTGTTGCACCCATCAGACGTTGAACAGAGATTCAGTGATCTGCCTCTCTCTTTACCCGACAAACTTGGTCTTTCAGATTGTTAATCTGTTCTATCCTACACGGTTCAAACAGACAGTCAAAGACTTCATGTATTAGTGCACATTTTTATCGAACCATACCGCCTTTTTGAGTTGATTGAATAGGTTTGTACCTCAGTGTGAAGATAACGGTGGTTAGGTTTTCCCTGAGCTTTGTCATTTTGTCAAAGACGTTCCATCATTAAGCTAGGTGAGATCCTCAACACTAACCTGATAAAGAGGCGAAGTATATTCAGATGCTACACCTATGTTTAGATAATGTTTTTGTTGACCTTGAATGTTGTCAAATTTTCAGTTGGAGAAGATATTGTATCACACACTGGCCTCTTTGAATTAACATTTCATCAAGTCACGGCAGTAGAGTATTTTTGTTACTGTCACTGCATCATTGATTTGTTTTCAATCTGTGATGAATTTCACCTACAATATACACTTGACTATTTTCTTGAGTAGTTCCAAATTGAGTCCATGTCTTTGTTTGTTGGTTGGTCGTTGGAATGCCATGCTTCTAAAAATTTTCTCGCAGCCTTCGAACTTGCCATTTGGAGAATTTCCACATCCTCTCAGTTGAATTTGTAACCGTGATTGTCTCCGTTCATTAAGACCAAAACGGTTGCGTCATGTTGCTAGTTAGTATTTATAAATTCTTTGTGCAAACTAATTGCTAGACTGGCTAGTGTAGTGTTTGTGAACACCTTCTCAGTTGGCTTTGTAGGTATGTGTCCTGCTTTCTCTTTGCAGTAGATCCTTTAGCTTTCATAACATACTCCGTGGCGATTTTGCTGGTTTTCATGCCACTGCAATTAGCAGTGTATGAGATATCCATGATGTAGGGTAGAGTAACACGGCAATTGCAATATTCTGTGTTTTGCTAATAAACACTTTTTGGTACAGTTGAGTGGATAGTCGTTGACTTTAAACGTTGTATAAATATGTTCCTTCCACCTTCTGTAGTGCTTCATTGTTGCAAAGTGTTTTAGTCTCTAAAAATACTGTTTGTACACATTTCTTATGGACTGTGGAATGACCGCTGTTATTGTTTTCAATTTGATCGGTGTGCCTGGTTTCCCTGTAAATTCAAGTTTATGAGGTCCCATCATGTGTTCTGGTGGGTCATCTAAGAATTGAAATTTGTTGTTGGCTTCCTCCTCCTTTGTAAAGTGAATTCCTTCAAATACTCGGTTGATTAATTTGATCGTATTTTTTGTTCCGTTTTCTTTGAGAATCACGAATGTATCGTCGGCGTACCGGTTCCAGATTTTTGGCTTGGTGATAGGGATGACTATTGATTCCAGTCGCTGACTGGTCCATTCATTCTCATCCTCTATTATTCCTCTTTTATGATTTGGTCAGCTTTCCCTATATTCCTTTTTTCGGATGTGGTTGTCTAGTTGTTTATTTAGATTTTATTTCGGTGGTTGGTAAATACTTTCGTCTTTAAGTAATTCTTGTGATAAATAGAAGCCGCACTAAAGGTTAATGGGTACACCACCTAAACATTTGTCCGACATTTGAATATGCTCTTCTTCGCTATGAAGTTAGTGCTGAGAATGTCACCAAGCCTGGTAACAGGACATCCACGGCAAAGCCGTTCGACAACAGTTTGAGCATCACTCCAGGCTTTCTCAGGATAAGGATTACTGTCACTTTCAGGTACATGGTTAGCTATCTCCTCTTCAAATATCCACTAGACATCCACGTCTTCCGATCAATCAAGTGCACACATGCCTCACTGTTGTCTGTTTCCTGCAACCAGTAAGATACAGACGTACATGTGTCCCTACTATAGCGTGATCGGAGCTCAAACAAGTACCCAGAGAAAGTGTCACTCCTCTCCACCGATAACTTATAGCAGTATGATTTGTCTGGATCCGTTGTTGGTTTGGTGTTGACAGACATCATCGGCCGTCCATGTGCATGGGAATTCGTAGACACCTCCAGCATGGGTTTGAGGTTGATTCGTTTCCCTTACTAAGGCAGGGCTCTTAAGTCTCCTGCTATTATGAGCGGCACATATTCTGCGAACATCTTACGTACGTTGATTCCACTTCCAACAAATATTTATAAAACTTTGATGAAATAAGAAACAAACAGATATGAGGAGTTTATGAAATATTTTATTTCGAACTTCTCAAATTTGAATATATTAGTAACTCAACCTTGTGTAATCCAAGTTCGAAGTTATTGTCGTCTATACTTTCTTTCCTTTAGCATAATTTGCTATCTAGATTTATATTAAGTTGATTAAACAAACAGTTCTTATGACATTAAGATAACAACTTATCGGATATATTGTTTCGTGATAAAGATCGGTTGCAAAAAAGAAGAGTATCGTGTGAATAAGAAAATTTGCAGGTGTGTGTCTTATAGTGAACCAGCGCATAATACGTAAGATGTTTACCATCCAAACGGTTATATGCGGACGTTTAGTTTTATGTAGCGCGATAGACAATTTTTAGTAAAACTCATCCATTGTATAATCCAAACCTTAATCGGTGAGCATGTAAGCGGAGACTAGGAATAGGCGTTGGTAATTCTCATGATTCTTCCTAGTTCTTACATATGCATTCACTCGATCAGCACACAGATGGCTGTTGATCGGCATCTAGTCGAGAAGTGCGCTTTTGAATTGAGAACCTGTTACAGTGTGAACGCCAGTGAGTCAATTGGAGGTAGCCATTGAGTCTCTGGATACCGATGGTGAATTTTGAAGACTCACTATAATGACCAGGGTGAGGTCAGTTTGATGATCATACTCGGGTCCTGTATATGTGTCTCTGAGACACACCAATAACTATGACTCAAGACCCTTGAGTTCTAGCAAGAGATGCATGCTGTCCGATTTAGCATAACATAGCGGATGTTGAAAGCTCCAACTGGAAATCGGGACGCTGGATTTTGGAGACTTGGAGTGATGTTTTACCACCTTAGATCGGGAACAATGGTCGAAGTGTGGGAGCTTATGAAAGTTGTAGGAGGCTTAATATAAACCCCTAAAAATTAAGGCAAGGGAGGAGATAAAGCTTAGACAGGAATGTTGTGGTTTCGTATGTTGCTAGAAACTTGTGGGCGGCCGGTAAATCCTGGCTGTCCACAGCGGGAAGGTTGTCTTTACAAGATTCCTGAAAGAGAAGATGGGAAAGATTTGTGTCATATATAAGTTCATGAAACATCTGCTTGCAATCGGCCAAATACGGCCTTTTCAAATTTTTTGAAAAGAGATTCGATTGTTTTCCCATAAGACAAGCACAACTCACACTGCTGGCATCGGAAGATCACACGGCAGGAAAACTGCTATTTTTTGGGGTGAACCTTTTTGAATCTCCCTTCCTGTAGAGAAAGCAGCATGTACATGGTGCTGCTGGTCATACGTTGAAAACACCTTGCTGCTGTCACATCCTATCCCTCTAACAGTACAGCGTCGCCCACGGACCCCAATCATAGCGCAGCCGTGTACACCGTAACGGTAACTGCTTTTCGTTTGGTAACTATCCAACCGACGTTTATGATATTATGATAGGACATCAAGGAACAGTTTCTCCTACCAGCATAGCTCGTTTGGCTATTGTAATGTCAGTCGAACCACTTTATGAAAGTAGCAGCTTTGTAGTAGTTATCGGATAGGCTTGGTGAATATTGTAGCATCTTGTCAGATCAGTCACCTCAGAAGACGAGACTGTGACATCTAAAGGAATAAATTGCAGCGATCGTTATATTGGTTCTTGACTTATTGTTTCCGAGTTAAAAATCCAGTTTTTAGTGTTCTGTTGATAGCATATAAGGCAGCAAAACTTTTAATTATTTATCGAATGACAAATGAGTGAAGAAGTACTATTTGTTTACTAAAACCCCACTTAGTTCGTTCAACAGTTTATAGGTGTGTTACCGACTTCCGTATCACAATTCATGATTAGATTCGCCCTCATACGTTTTGTTATTTGAGAATAATTTTTACGTTTCACTTTGTAACTAACAATCCGCTTAGCGAAAGTAATTTTTTCTCGTGAACATGCATGGGTTTACGCTTATTTTGTATTTGTTTTTGGGTTTTTAACGCTTTTTCATTCACCTACAGTCACTCAGTGTAGGAGTATTCGCCATTATCCAATATCTTGATGTCGATTTCCCTAAAGGTGTTGATGAAATATATTGATGTTATATGCCAGTTAGCATCTTCATTCTGAATGTACTAGAAGTTTGTATACAACTTGGAAACTGTGTCCATCTTTATGCACTAGGTTGTATACTTTCACCACAACGTGAATAATAGTGAAACTCACAAACTTTAGTAGGTGTTATGAAATCCAAGATTTGTGGTAGTATGGTTTGGATTCGCACGATTTGTTATATACATGAACTCTTAGTCAACCAGTCAATATAATCTTGGGACTTGCTTAACGGTCCATTTTGCCACACTTCACATCAACACATCAAGATACAAATCAGAGAAATGAAACAGAGAGTACTGGGAGAAAGAGAGAGTAGAGAGAGAGAGAGAGTCATACAAAATTCGGAAAAGAGGGTAAAGCGAATAATAAAATTCTGTGGTGATTTAGGTAAAGATAATACGTGAATGCATCTGCACTACTGAGATTGATTCTGAATTGTGTCACCTAGAGTTTCCCACCACTGATTTTAATTGTCATCCGGATCCCAATTTGGCAGTCTAGATTTTCTTGCATGGCTCAAGCTGCAAGTCTGTCGTATTTATAGGAAGAAACACTATTATACTCTTTCCACCAGCCAAGGGAATAAATTCACAACTGGCACTAGAAATGATACTTCGCACGGTCATTGCTTCATCAGATTTCAAAGGAATAGTGTAATTCACAATAGTTACATATTGGTCTTCCCGCTTGTGGGCTGATAGGCGTAAGTTTCTCAATCAATAGTCAATAAAAAGGAACTGCTATTCATGTCTTATGTGCCCCTTCCCATTTGTCAGTGTACAGCTGTTATTTGCTTTTTATTTGTTTGTTTCTCATTTCAGCTAAAACTACACCAGGTAGCCAATTAAAGTTTATCGGTTCTGCTCGTCTCGGTCCATTTGTTGACACGTATGGTCGTAAGGCTGCACAAATCTTAAATTCATCACACAGTCCTGTAGGGGACCTTCGAGGTAAAGAAAATTATTGTTTTAGTTGGCTAAAAAATTTGAAAGATTTATCACTTTCCCGCCTTTTGTTAATTTATTTCTAGGGTTCATCGTTTGTACTATGTATCCGGTTGGACAATATATAAAAATACATACTATGGTTGCTAGATAAACGATAAGTATATCTTCATCATTATGTTGGCGTAATAATTCACTGGTAATTTGTCTACTTGGTTCGCTTTCGCCTACAACGTTTCAGTCTCATACCATTAGTTAGCGTTTGGTAATTTATATCCCAATTTTGTGTCCCACGCAGATCACATACCCGAAATGAGATTAGTAGAGTGTTCAAAAAATGCAATATCAGTGTTCTACAGAACATCAGAGCATTTGGGTCCGTGTGGTGAATAACAGTCCCTAGGGTTTCCAGCCTGATTGTGATAATGAAATAAAATAACCTATGATACTCCACTAGACAGAGGAAAAACTTAGTATGTGATCATAGTTGAAAAAAAAATTCCAAACGTCTTCCATCGACCTCTTAGAGATCTAGTAGAGCTTAAAAGACTTCGAATGCACTTCAGCCATTTCTGTACATGGGATAATTTCAAGTAACAAGGTGGACTTTGACAATATTGCAACTATTCAGAAAGGCTTTAGAAATTATAAAGAACGTCTCAGCATATTTTCTTTAAACTAAATAGAATCAAAGTTTGCATAGTGTGGTAAGAAGATGGAGGTTATCTGAGAAGTGTCGGGTATTCGCTCAATACATTTCCAACAATCTGGTCACACACTTACTTGTCAAGGCATTTCATATGAATGAGGGAGAAAACGGGCTTGGAGTATGGTAAATGAATTAAGACAATACAAGATTTGGCAAGTATAGGGATAATAAAGGGGAATAATTCATTTTCACACCTCCCTCGGCATTAAAACGATATCACCAAAGAAAGTTTAAGGTAAGGAAAAATGTTTTGAACACTCAAAGGGGGTCTGAACTTTCGCATAGCCAAGGCTTCAATGATGATCTTCAAAGCTGCCATATAACTGTCCAAATGCTGCTTTGGGCTCAATCTTGTAACCTGTTTCTGCTAACCATTTCTCCCGTTTTTACGTTAGGGAGCGACACATCGATAGTTTAGGATGTAATGGAATAATTACTTTGTGCCAAGTGCAATTATAAGGAACATCTCAGTATATTCTCTTTACACTAAATCGAATCGAAATTGTCTAGAAGTGAGGAAGCGAAACACCTCAACCTTAATTCAACCTAGCCGTACATACTAACATATCGATTGCACATGTGGTAAGAACTACAAGCAAATGTGTAGACAAAAAATTCAATTAACACACTCAACAAACCATATATGGTCATCATCTTTCACAGTAGTTTGACAATCCAGAATAACTCAAGTTATCATACTTGAATGTTGTAAATCCCGGTTAGCTCATACTTTGAAAACACAATAGGCTATAAAGAGTGAAATTTCCGTTAAAACAAACTTATTTTTCTTTCACTGCGAAATTCAGACACGAGAACAATCACTCTTCTTTTGTTGTTTCACATGTTTGTCGTCTCCTATGGTATGTATTTGACTCACCATGCAGATGCATGACTATGGACCTATTTTGTAAGATGTTCATTTTTCGTTATAGAGTTCCTATCTGATCAAGTTATAACTGTTTAGTAACGTTTACTGTTACCAAAGGCTCCTCACCAAACATTCTACGGACTATTTTCCCTGATTTCTATGAATATTTTCCTCTTCGAATACAAATGCTTATAAAATTCTTTTCGAAAATGTTCAGAGACAACTGTTGTAAGAGTTTATGGGTAAACTTCTCTTATTTTAGCAGTTTCTCATACAACTTAGCATTTTAGACGATATCCTATCACTGGATTACTAAACATCTGTCACTTTCATTATTTTCTGTTTCATAACGTTATACCTTCAATGAGGATCTATTTACGTATAATTGCATATTTTTCCTTAGATCTAGAATATGCAGATGACATGACATAGTCCTGTTAGGTGAAGACGCTGACAAGATGCAGAGTCTTCTGAACACTTTGAGTGGGAATTTGAGGATGTTTGGGATGCGATTTTCACCACCCAAATGCAAATTTTTGCTCCAGGACTGGTCTTCAGTGGTACCGCGGTTAACAATAGAGAGTGAAGTGGTTGAGTGTGTTGACCACTTCACTTACCTGGGAAGTAGGATCAGCCCTGGTGGCTGGCTCAGTGGCCAATGAAATCTCTGCACGGATACAAAAGGCTCGATTGGCTTTTGCCAATTTGCGCCACCTATGGCGCCGCCGTGATATTCGTTTGTCTATTAAGGGTCGCGTGTACTGCACAGCAGTCCGCTCTGTTCTACTATATGGCTGTGAAACATGGCCATTGAAAGTGGAGGATACAAAAAGGCTTCAGGTGTTTGACCACCGTTGCCTTCGTAATATAGGACGTATTCCGTGGTGTCACCATGTGAGTAATGCAGAAGTTAGGTGTAGAGTTTTGGGGAGAAGAGGTAAGTCAGTCGACGAGGTTGTGAACCTTCATCGACTGAGATGGTTGGGACACGTACTACGTATGCCTAGTCACCGATTGCCTCGTCACACAATGTTGGCTGAGGTGGGTTCAGGCTGGAAAAAGGCCCGAGGTGGCCAGACTAAAACATGGCACCAATGTATGAAGTCTCTGACTGTTGGTTTAAGCCATGTAGGACGATGCAGACTAGGTGGTTGGAGTCCACGGGACAAGAGGAACCAGTGGTTGGAGACCCTAGGTGATATGGCTCAGAACCGAAGTCAGTGGCGCAGATGTATACACACATTATCCTCATCTTAACAACGCTATACCGAATCTCACTATTTTGTCACTCCTCTTTCCTTTCTTCTCGTACTTTATATTTCTTTTGACTGCATTCACTTATCTTCATCCTTCACCTCACTACCTTTTTACTTGATGTACTGATATGAGGTGTGGCAACTCGGACCGTTACGCAGTAATGCCTGGTCCTATATTGATAATGATGATGATGCTGAGCGATTCCGCGTAGAATAATGAAATTGGCATGACCCAACATCTTGCTCTTAGAAGTGTTGTGGGTTGTGACGAAATGAGTTTTGAGATATGCGTAGTATGCCAAAGTTTTTAGAAATGTTTTGGAAAAGTTGAGTGTGCACTGCTGAGGAGTCCCATACTAGGACGAAACAGCTGTCCAATGCTCCAAAGTTTCCAGTGTTACTCTGACTGATGTTAGTCCATGATGAATTTTAACCTAAAAATCAATTAATACATCTCCGTAAACTTCCAGATAGAATTGAAAAAGTTGTTCAGCGACCCATTCGAAATCGAAATCTACCTAGCTACTTTGTGCACATTTGTGCAGCAGGCATTGAGCCACACTTAGTGTGTGTGGGCTAGTGATACTACCTGGCTACCCAAACCACCTCGGTAGGTGGGTTAATGTTCAAATCCGTGACCCAATGGTTGAAACTCAATTCCCTCAACCAGTGAACCACAACTCCACCAGCAACCTATTAACAAAGTGAGTGGCGCAATGGATCAAATGCTTGGAGAGACAGTCCAACTGACATTAGATGCGCTTCAGAAATAACCCGAATATAATGTTTATAGCCATGGATACAGGTTTTGCGCTATTACTCGTTACTTAACATATAACATTTTGGTAAGCTTGGTGTATGCTTTTGGTACAACAATCATTTATGTAGTGCGGAGATGTAATTCCACTTAACCAATAAACTTACTACTTTTCTGTGCTGCCGACCGAACACAATTTATACGATCGATGTGTGTTGGACACCCCATAGTAAAATCAAATGCATTAAAATATTGTGCCATTTTGTTGATTCTTTTTACTATCCTTGTAGTACGTTATCTGATTATTCAGCCAATGATTAAACCGCCTGACCCAAGTTTGAAAGTAAGCTATCAACACCATTGGAAAAAGCGTGGAGTCATAGATATTGGTCATCGTGGTATGGGTACATCATTTTTGGAACCAGAGCAGAAGCAGTATAAAAGGTATGTAGCGGTATACGGATGTACATGTATGGTTAATCATTCTGCTTCGATTATTGATCATCTGTATCTTTCTTCCTCCTATAGAGTAAATATTAGCTAATCGTTTTATTTTGTACCAAAAATGGGTAAGTTATCATATGTATAGCAGTGCTGCTGCTGCTGATGATGATAAGGAAGCTCCTTCATGATAAACTTCGACAATTCCATCTTTATTTTTATGCAGTTAGTCAGTAAGTAAGTTTGCAAGTGTGCGTTAACTGTGATGACTGGAAATGTTATTATCCACGTCAGCTCACTAACTTTTTCGGAATGTGATACTGATTGGATTTAAGCATAACTTGGAACAAACCTTAATGCGGCTATAGACATCAGGCGTAAGGCCAGTTGATGCAATTGTAAATCTTCATCTTCTCAAGACACTAGGACATGTGTTACGCATGTTTAGTCACCATCCACGCACGCACCCGCTCAATGCCAGCTGAAGTCCATGTCTGCCAGAATAAACATGCTATCAATCCAGTAAGTCCTTGACTGTTGGTCTAAGCCGTGCTGGGCGATTCAGACCTCCAAATTTAGGTCCGGTCGAAAACTGGGATCGGTGGCTGCATACTCTAGGTTTTTTTAGCCCAGCATCAATCCCAGTCGCACAGACGCCTTCACACATTATCTTAATCGTTGTACCGAATTTCAGTATTTACTTTACACCCCTCTCCCATTTTTCGTATGTCTACAGCTTTTGATTATATTTTTTCCTTCCACCTCTATCTTTCATCATTTTGCTTTGTATCTTGATGTGCTGTTGTGAAGTGTAGCATTTCAGACCATTACACAGTAACGTCAGGTCTCTTGATGACCGACTGATCGACTCATCATGCCTATTCTTTCAATCAAATTACTAAGTCACTTCTCCGAGTCATGACATTAAGCGCACGAAAATCGAAATAAAGTAAATGCTTCTGCATGAATATCATTCCACAAAATGTTTAGACAGTCTGCCTTAAAAGTACTACCGAAAAACCTGTAGTGTTTTGATTAGGTGTTACCCAGAGATGGTTGTAACCTGTAGACAACGCAAAAGTTATTTTTGAGACTGGAACTACAGAACAGCAAAGCATGTTTTACTGTCGCCATGTGCAGACCTTTTTCTGCTTTTTCATGTAAATTAGATTTAGTGACAACTGGATTGTCGCACTAATATATTGTAATTGAGACCAGTTTCAGTCTTTTGCTGGCTTGTTTTGCGATCCAAGTCATAAAATATCAGTGTTAAATTTATAAAAAAGATATCTGACTGATAGTTGCAAGAGCCTAAAACCCATGAAATCAGATACTATTCATAATCAATGATGATTGCTTATGTCTGATCTTCGTCTGTTACCATGTCGTAGAAAAAAGGCCAGTTTTCCATCAATTATGTTTTCCAATGTGAATTTAATATCTCACAGCACATCAGTCTTATAACAACAAATATCATTGAAAAAATGCCAAGTGAATAAACCACACTTTTCAAGGTTCTATAATTGCACTTTTAAAGCTCATAATAACTATTATAGAATCTTACCAAGATGGGTTCAGACTCTTTGTTAATGGATATTTAAATGAAAAGTCTGCTGTATAAACTCTCAAGTTTCTGATGAAATCTAGGCTCATCCATAATGTTCAGTTTGGAGGTTTATAGGAGTTATTTATCTATTGAAATAAGAAATATAAGCCATTGGATTGCGACTCAGTGGCTCAATGGCAACGTGCTGGTCGCAGAACCTGAAAATCCTGGGTTCAATCCCTGGTATGCACTCCTGAGGAGTTCTGTATTAGGATGAAACGGCTCTCCAGTGCTCCCAGGTTTCCAATGTTTTTCTAGCTGATATCAGTCCATGATGAATACCAACCTGAAATCATGCGTTTTAAACAATCCACCTTATTTTGTTTCATTTCCTAAGTGCAGCGATAATGTAATCTATTGTCTATTACAGGAAGCCAACTTGTTGAGGTTTGCAATCCACTCCCTCCCTCCCTTACATCTTCAACATATTGTATTTTCTAAGCTCAGAATCGATTTTTATCAGAAAGTTAAGTAACGAAGCAGATTAATCATAAACTTTAATCCTTTACTAAGAATACCTCAGTGATATTGATTGTCTTTAGACTGAGGGGTAAGCAAAGTACCTGCTTACAAAAAGTATTGGATATCATGACTAAGGATCATTTTGATTTCTATGCTGTACCGTTGTACACCATTCTTTTGTCGTCTGTTTTCAACAGCCTTACATTCTGTTTTATTGTTTTTAAGTTTCTTTCCGTAAAACTTCCTCACCTTTATTCGTTTCCGTTTGTTGTAAGTTACGGCAACAATGACTGATACATATTTTTTACGGATTTCATTTTGTTCAGTTGTTTAAGTTAGATTTGCATAAATCAAATTCCTACTTTCCTTGTGTGCGTGTGTGTGTTTGACCTAATTAAAGTTTTTATCTTCAAAAACAGCGATGCTGTATATTGTTGAAGGTTGTGCAAAAAACAATGATTTACCGAGGTCATCATAACAAACAACCCTTTCTTTCATCGTCTTCATTTATGCAGCTTCGGTTTGTGTCTGTCCACGACTGGGTTTCGCGCGAGGTAAATTAGATTGACGCACAGATTTATGCATAAAATGATCATGATTGAAGTCAAAAGAGAACCTGATTGGTCTGTGGAGGTATTTCAACAAGCGATATCATCTAGCTTTCTGTAGACATAATTTCGTCAACCAGGTTTCACTGCTCATTTTATCCAATAAAATATATGCTAATATTTGTCAACACTATATCTCTATCATAGCCATTAAATCGATCGCACAGTTGAATTATTGTTTCCGTTGTAACTATCTTGTGATACTGGTGACTATGCTGCTCATTTGTCTTGTGTCCTATTCATGTGCGACGGTATGTTATGTACTTTTCACTATCAACAATGTAAGGATTGGCCGCTATCAGTCGCAAACTGACGTACAAATACACAATTCATCTAAGTCTCCTTTCGTTCGTTTCTTCTCTTCGTTCACTTTTTTCGTCTTGTTGGAAGGCGCAGACTACCTGGCTGGGATCCCTAAGATCAAACGTATCATTGGTTGCAGACCCTTGGTGACATCATGAAAATCAGTCACAATGGCGCAAATTTTTTCACTCTTCGATGTCTTCCAAATCTTGAATATTTGAGTAACCTTCATTTTTAAATTCCTTCTCCTACAATACACGTTCATCTATTTGATAACAATCTTTTTCTGTCCACTAGCTCTTCAAATGCTACTGTGAAGTGTAACACAAAGTTCTGTCTCGTTGCACTGTCGTTCAACTTTTATTCATTCTCTCTTTTTATACTCTTTGGAAGTGGGACAAATTTAATCGCTACATATTTGCGAGATAGTGCCACTGCATTTTATAAGCCATCTTTCATACTCTTGAAGTGTAGCATATTTGTGAGGGTTTCTATCTAGTTTTTTCTGTTGTCAATCTCTGGAACGATCCATATGATCGTAAATTTGTTCAAGGGCATTGTTTGAACTAACCACCCAACACCAAATAACTTTCTACCACCATGACTTAATAGATTATGTATTCATTTCTTCAAGAATATTTGAAGTCAGTCATATTCTTTAGGCATTTCTTTGAAGTTTCAAAGCTCACTGCATTTCATATTGTAATATAAACCAGAAAAAAAGGCGAAGTGAAGTTGAATGTTGTGTAGAATCTGTTATGTGATATCGCCCTACTTTAATCACCATCTAGGGCAACATCGTCTCCTTCATTTGTCCAATGTACTCACTGACATGAATTCAGTCTCTCTTTCAGGCAAAAGAGTGAAGACAATTGGTGTTGTCAATTGTCAAACATATGAATAGATGACTGTGAGGTCAAGTGCATAGGTGAAACTAACCGATCAGGTTCAGTTAGATTAGCGAAACATACAAATTTAGCTGACTATAGAATAAAAGATCCCGATAAGATCAGTAATCTAGAAAAACACTCAGATATCATGATGAAGGCGATTAGCACAACCACACAATAGGGTGTGGTAAAACCACTATACTTAACTCCAATCTAATTAGGTGGGGGGAGATTGATTACTGAATCTTTGTTCGTCAAAGCAACACGCAACACATGTAATAGAAATGACGCAACACCAATACCAGAAGAGATATGGAAAATTGGAATACTAACAAAAACGAAGAGAATGAGGTGACAGGACTATAAAAACCAGATGTCGAAAGTCGTGTGATTACATTGATATGATTATGAGCAATAATTTATGCTCGAAAGGTCACCAAGTAAATAGTATTGTATTACTGTATGTTTTTAATCAAATGAAAAAATCTAATATAAAGTATCATGGGTACTTATATTGCCGAAGGTACGTCCTCGGAACGCACACTTATATTCAGGTGTGGCTGAGTTGGTCTAGGCATCCGACTTCCTTCCAACGGGTAGCGGGTTCAAACCTCACTCCCCTTACCCAGGTTTTGGCAACTAAGTAGTATTATCAACCATCACACAATGAATGTGGCTTATTGCCCGCTGCACGAACGTCCACGTGGCTGCTAAATGCATTTCATTCGGCTCTATCACATTCCAACTCCTTAACTAACGTTTTACTTTCTTCATGTAAATCCACTTTAAAATTGATATTCAAAAGCACACAAGAGCTATCTTATACCAGATTATTAAGTGTTAGTAGCAATCTGAAACACACCTATATTCCGGAAAATACTGATAATCAGCATTTAAACAGCGCTAGCACAAAGATCACAGTAAATTTTAGTGTTTTTCTTACTATGAATAGTTTTGTTAACTAACAGAAAGATGGAGTTCATGTTTAGTGTGGATAAAACGAAGTTTTCCATTTCATTGAAAAGAATTCATATGATTTCTAGGTCAGGATTTTATAGAATAGAATTATTGCCATGTTGAAACTCGGATTAAACTAGTGGCTAGAAGTTGGCATTTTTATTTTAACCTTTCTCAGATAGTGGGCTTGTTAATTTCTCTCAAAGTCGATGTCACTGACATATCTTTACTCACTGTCATTTCCTTGAGTATTTAAATATCCTTTAGTGCTTTCTCTAGTACTTCATCTGTTTTATTGATGCATTAAGACATTGTCATTATATCATAGAGATAAAACTAGTTTATTTCTTAAGTCAGCTCTACATTCAGTATACACTGATACTGATTTATTCCTTTCAATATAGCAACACATGTTTGAGTTAAATTTTTCCACCTAAGAAAGTGTTGGTATCCTGTCCTACCTAGGTTTCAAATTCTTTCAAGGGGTGATTCAAATAATTTGAAAACTTGATTTATTTATAACTGATATTGAATCATATAAAAACTGCTTCTAAAACTTGAACACTCAGAGTCGATTGTTTTCGCATTTGTGACTTCCGCACTGCACACCGATTGTTTTTACAGCGTTGAAGCTTAATTCTGCACATCTCTCGGTGCTAGCACTTTACCATCTATTTTACTGGAATATAAGTCATAGGTGTGTATCTTCTCAAACTTGGATGAATTTTTGTCACATTGAGACCATCCAGACATTGTTTCTTATTCGTGACTTATCTGTTATCTGAATGTTAAATAGTTTATACCTCATATATTTTCGATAATGTGCTACAGTAAAAAAAACTTAATGATGAAACAGCCTAATTACGCATTCCTTGGTTTTTTGATCTCATTCCAATGATATTTTCAATGTCTCACTGTGTGTTTCATGTGCTAACACCTCCACATTACTTTTTTCTTGAACTGACTGAGTTAACTATAATTTCACTTTGATATATAATTTGATCAAATTCTTTTAATTCAACAATTTCATTGCAAGATGAAATATGAATTGAATATTTCGATGTGAATTATTCATCCTATGTTTTTGTTGTTGTTCAGTTTTGCATGTAACGATCTCACTTTCGCTACAGTATTTAATATCAACTGATATCGAATGATATTCTTGAGATCAGCATTTTCAATGAAACATAAAATCTTGTTCATATCTCAAGGGTGTTTTACAGAGATTTGTAGCAAATGGTGAAAATGTTTGATACTTATTGATGCCGACACTTGATGTTCAGCGTGAGATTAAGTCGCAGGTGCGAATATTAATTGACCTTGTTAACTTCGAATAACACAGCGGTAACACTAGTTATCAGTCACATCGTAGATGCAGCTCACGGTCCAGGAGATCAACTCCAATTGAATATCACTCCTTTTCATTTATTTTACCTTGATTCTTTATGTTTGGGGCACCCGTTCACATTTACTGACTAGTCTTGAGCTAATCCCTAACCGTATCGTAATTAGACCTAAAAAATTTTTTAGACACCACATGAATTTGAAAAGTCACTGGCTATTCAGAGAAGCATAAACCATTTGTCTAAAAAATCAGGGGTTAAAGTACTTCACCGGAAAAGTGATCAAAGTTGTACAGATGCATTCACTCCTTTTCTACACCGAAATTTCTAACTCTTCATTTGCTTATTATTCATACAATTCCAGAAAATTAGCTACAGAATCTATTGAGTTTATTGTAAGCTGAAAGTACAGCTCATGCTGATGTATTTCGCTGCATGTTGTATGCTGTATCAGCTGCAAAGTGAAAAATCTTCATAGTCTATCGCTTGGTGTTCACTACCAGAAGTTACTTGTCATAAACAAGATTAATTGGCATGATTTACTTAGTTTTGGTTAGCAGAGGAATCCAGCACGCGTGTTTCATCCTATTTGGGACCCGTCAGCTGGATGTACCTGCACCCCAATTAGTTATGTTGTTCCCACTGAGGCCGTTAAACTATAATAAAATTCAAATGAAAAGTCTTTTCGCATATGTTTCAGATTTTGCATTTAATCTAGTTCATAGAGTTATGCATTAACTACATACAGGTTCATTTACTAGACGTTCGTAGCTGAAGCGTTAGCTGACACTATCTTTAACCTTGGAAATTAGATTGAATCTCAAAACGGTGATCTTAAGATATAAATTGCAAAAATACCAAAGAGAAATCAACCTAATATTAGCATGTCTTTCCGTTTGCTCTTAAAGTGTATGATACTTTGTCTTGTATACCGTGATTTCATTTGAATTTCTAAGTACTATTCATTGTGATTAACCACTAAGAGTTTAATTTCAAGAAGTTCAAACTTTGTTTAAAACTCATCAACTTATAATCTTCATGCTAACTGACTGAACAAGACTAATATAGACAAACAATGTAAATCAATCAACTTATAACCAGTTCTTCAATTTATTTCCTTTTCATTATGTTCATCTACCGAATAATAGATGTGTAGGAGAGTATGATGCATGTAAGACAACTTTCAATGGTTACATTACAAAACTTCCGATCTCATCATTATTGAAACAAATGGAGTTAATTAATCACAATCAGATTGAGAGAGTTGAACTTCATTCATTGATTAAGAATTCATTATGAATGCAATAATGTTGTTTCTTGCATACCTCTGAAATAGTCTACCACAGTGGGATTGTCATGTCAGTAAATAAACCTGTTATGACAGTGGTATCTGAGGAAATATCCTGTCAGTGTAAACTTATTTCTATCACTCAGAATGCCGGTAATCTCTTAATTAAAAATTTTTTTAAATTTATTATTTTTCTTGCATGCAATGCGCAGCTATTCATGTACTTGATTTTTACAGGACACCGTCAACTAAGGAGAATACATTGGATTCGTTTCGAACAGCTGTTCAACATGTAATTTATTTTAATATGATTAAGTATCCTTGTTTATTTTCTTCACATTTTTTCACACACTTCGTGCAATATTTTTCGAGTGAATGGTAGAGTGTTTTCATTTTTATCATCTTTTTTGGAATTCGGTGCAGTGCTTTTGGAGGGGAAAAAACCCTGATAGAGATAGTTTTTTGTCTGTTCATTCTCAGTCTTCATTCCTCTTTGTCTCTTATGCCCCACCAGGTCGTCGTAATCAACTCAGTAAATTCAACATGATAAGATAGCTTTCATCACTCTTCATTCATATATTTTTGTCTGAGTACAAAACACGCTATCTGTGGGCGTTGTACAGACCCTAATGAATTGTAGATTTCTTGATAAGGAAAGAAATGGACTTTACTACCATTACAGTACACCAGCTGAATCTACAAGCTGTGTATCTATGACTTCTATCCCTAAGGCCGGTGTTTAATAAACTTAAGAGACTAGTAAGCGGGCTCAAAGTGTCCATCAAATCTCATAGATGTTCTGTGATCAAGGTCAATGGAGTGGAGCTTGGTGTCACACCTGTCTGATGAGCTTTGGGAGACTCTGTAATCAGAATCAAAAAGCCATCGAGAAGGTATCTACGGAACCCCATGCATACGAACCGACAACAATGATAGTCGTTTGCAGTTTGTTCTCACTATCACTTTTGTCTGGCCAGCACTAACTTCTGTCATAAAGAGAGACAATTTCCCGCATGGCGTCCACTTGCATCAAGTCAACGGTGGACACCAAATGGGTCATATCGCTGTAGACCATCATTGGAGAGTATCGGAGGAGGATTACCCCTCTTTCTGGAGTACTTGTTTGGACTACAATCACACGTTAGTATGAGGAAGTTAAGCTTTGCGCCCTACTGGTCGCGAGGAAACAGATGACAATGAAGCCTATCAGTGCTGGATTGGAAGATGAAGACGTGAAGTACCGTATTTCAAGAGGAGATAGGTAAGCATTTACTTGAACGTGAGAACAGTGCTCATCCTGAGAAAACCTGGCACGGTATTAAGTCTGCTGTATAAACAGCGTTAAAGATAGTTGGTAACTTAAATCCAAAGGTTAGCAAACGTCATTGAACTTTCGCGACCTTATTGGGACTAATTCATGTGAGAAGTCTCATGCCAACTTGCTCTGATCACGTTGATAAGCGAAAGAAGCTTAAGTGTGAATTGTCAAAAATCCTTCACAATGTTGGCGAGCAGTGGTGGGTGACGAGAGCGAGAGAACTGAAGAAGAGAGCATCAGGTGATACCTGGTAATTACTTGGGCTTATAAGGCGTGGCGGCAAGGAAATGGTGATGGTTAGTCAGACAATCACCGTAAAGAATGATATACCTCCCAGGACAACCATCTAGAACGTTGGGCAGAACACTTTGAAGCCCAGTTCATCTGGCTTACAGTAATGCTTCAGTTGCCCAGCTTCCAACCTAAAGCTCAATGGGTGGATGGTAGATGTTTGTCCTTCAACTCTTCTCGAAGTTGAGAAGATTGTTTGAAGTCTGAAGTGATGGAAAGCATCGGAAACTGATTTATTGAGTTTGTTAAGAAATTTCTAAGTGGAGTATCCGAAGCAGTGTATGGTAATCAGAGGTCGTCCTGTTAGACTAGTCTACTTCATTGTTCATCCCAGTCTATATTATAAGGGACAGACATCTTCCATAGGGGAATCAGTTTAACTAATATCGTGTTCAGAATCCTTGGGTCTATAATTATCCAATGCCCAAGAGTGGCTAGAAAACAGCGACCTCAAAAAAACCAGTTAGGTTTCAAACTTGGACGAGGGTGTACAAGTCAAATCTTCACTCCTCATCAGGTAACGGAACACAGATTTACTCACCGGTGGCCGACACTTTCCATATTCCTTAATCTGAAAGCAGCATTTTACTGTCACCTGTGAGCTATTGTTTCAGTGTCTGACTGTGAAGAGAGTAGCGGGGAAGTATGCAACCCTGATCAAAGCTCTCTACTCGAACTCATACAGTCGCATGAGGGCATGTTTAAAGTTGTCCTGTGAATTGACGACTACAAATTATGTCCGCCAGAGATACGCGCTGTCACCGTTACTGTTTAACTTCGTTATGGGTGCAATAATGCATATAACCTTAGGTATTTCTAACTTCATAGGGATTGGTCTACTTTATGGAGGGCATCTGGTTGACTTGTAGTGCGCAGACTATATTTTCCTGCTAGGTGATGACGCTGATGCGATGCAGGGTCCCGTGAACGCATTGAGCATGTTTAGCTGATATGCGTTTCACAACTGCCTAATGTAAGACGATGTATGCCTCGTTACTGGTTTTCATTAGCTCGCGGTGTAAGGATGGATTGAAGTGGTGGAATATGCCGACCCCTTCACTTACTTGAGGAGATACATCATTTTGAACGGCCTGATTTCTGATAGAATGTGAGCTCGGATGCAGAAGGCTAGCTTGGCACCTGCCAACTTGCTACATTTGTGGCGTTGACCGGCGATTAAAGGACGAGTATACTGTGCTGCAGTCCGTTCTATCCTGTGAGATATGGTCGTTAAAAGTAGAAAACGTGAAGGTTTTCAAATATGTATCTTCATAATATTGCCCGTGGGTGATAAAATCACCATCTGAGCAACATCTACGTTAGGCAAAGGGTATCAGACAAGTCAGCCAATGAGGTTATAAGCCTTTATCGAGGGGGTTTTAGAAACGTGCTGCGCATGTCAGGCCATCACCTATCTCACAGTGAAATGCTAGCAGGAGTTGGATCACGTTGGAATAAAGTTCAAGATGGCCAGACTAAGACGTAGCGTCTGCCGATGTAGTCTATGGCTGTTGGTCCGAGCCATCTTGGGAGGTGACTGGGTTCCGTAAGACGATCGGAATCAGTGGTTGAGGACTTCCGCAGAAGTAACTGAAGACCGATCCCAGTGGTTCAATGTTTCATCTCCTTGAGGTTTTCCAAAGCTTGAATGTTTTAAGTAACCTTCATTTTAATTTCCCTTTTTCTACTTTTATGCTAGTCTTTTTCTATCCATTTGTTCTTTGCATGCTGCTGTGAGGTGTGGCAACTTGAACTGATTCACTTGTGTGCGAAATTCTATGTTGATTCTGTCCGTCTCTCAATAAATAGCATGGCAATTTTGATCATTACGTCGATGAAGTTTTAAATCTGTGAGACAGTATCAGTTCTTTCATCTTTACAAATGCCGTGTACATATCTCAGTGATACGTATCGCTAAGTGCATCCGAATATCTAATATCACGCCTATTTTATGTACCATGATTGGAAGCTGTCCGATTTGTATATATTACCTATATCTTTGCTTATATATTTGTGATGTCAACTGACATGGTGTTCTGTTGATCAGATAACTATTTCGTCAAAACAAGTTGCAGATTTCATCCTGCTTAAGTTGTTTTCTCACTTATGATATTTGTTTGGTGGGGAATTGTAGACATTGTTGCCTAGAAATAAATGCATCCACTTTTGTTGCTTCTTTTCTATCATTTTGTGGTTAATTTTCGACACTTTCCCCATCAGATTGTTCTGTATCTTACCAACTTTCTGTTTATGTACTGTTTGATTTTTCATCACTCATTATTGTATGACAAAAATCAAACGGTTTCTTTCAATCTCTCCCATTATTCTTTGTAATTAGTTTTCCAGACAGCCACGACCATGCCAAATTCTTTCCTTTTGAAAATAGAATGATGAAATCTACCTGAGTATAGGGTTTGATGAATTATAAACCACTGTATCTTGCATTCATACGACAAATAAACAAAACACTTGGCGATTGAAATGAATATGAGATTCATTTAACAGTCGTGCATCCCTACCCTCAGCTGATCGGTTGTTGAGTCAATAAACCTACTACCATGATTTGTCATCCCACCACCATCCAACTTTTCTTTCACTTGCAGTCATCTTGTAAATACTTTAAGTTTAATGCAATATCCTTTCTCTTATGATGATTGCTGCAGACGATGTTTCAAGTTCTGCGTTGACTTGTCTATCTGTCCATTGATTCAACTTATCTAAATAATACGTGTTAACGACTACTGATTTTATGTCTTTAGCTAAGTCTTAAGCCTACATAAAAGTACTTACTATTCCAACTGAAGAAAAATTCGTATTCGGTACTTATTTTGTATTCTCTAATAAATATGACATGAAGTTTGTAAATTTACTGTTATTATAATCATATCCGTTGGTCTATATTCACAGTTAAGTTCGAACGTATCGTACCTACAAAAAACTCAAATGAGAGAGTTTATTTGCTTGACAAGAGCTTACTGAATGCCCTATATGGAATTGTGCTTACAGGAAGCTGCAGTCGTTTGTATAGATCGAATGGTAAACTTCTCTAAGCAGATTTATGACGTAATTACTGCATCGAACTGATTCATCTCAAACTTATCCCTGCTTCAAGGTTTTGTGCTAGATTTAATTAAAATGAAAGACTTCAAATAATTTCTGCATTTGAAGCATGATACCCTCCCATCTAGTCACTTTCTACTAGATGCAGCAGCATAGGGCAGCGTAAACTTTCTTGTTGGAATCAACAGCTTGTTAAATATCAATAATAGGAGCCTTAAATAATACACCACAGGTTTATTTGAAAGTTTTACTGATGCATTCATAATTCACCCTTTCATGAATAGTGAACATATAACTGTGATCTTTTTCACATTGATTATTCACTGGAGAGTAATGTGTTCTAGTTCTTAATGCTGGTTGAATTCTGTCGATCATTTTTTATTGTGATCACCAAGCTAGTGGACTCATCATCGCGGTACACTACTCGGTTGTACAGGATCAGCATGGAGCCCTGGATCTTGTTCTTTTTTTTGCTTATTGGCGCTTATCAGCGGAACTGATATCTGCTGTGAGGTTCGGTCCGTCATCATCCTGTGCTGCCATTTTTACTGAACTATTTAGGCTGCAGTTGACCTCCTGTAAGTTGCAGATTAGGCTTGCTTACTAGTCCTAACAAGCACGAAATCTAAGCCCAGGAGTTCCTACCGATTTCCTCCAACTCGCTAGCGCTGTTATCTTTTTTACTCTCCACTTCACTTGATTTGTTGTTAGTTTTCGTTATATTCCTGACCATTTTCATCTTATTTCTAGTGTACGAAGTGTTGAGTATTGAACTGATATCCTATTTTGACAAGTTCTATTTTGCAGTCTTTCTAAACTACATCTTCAATAGCTAAATATACCGCACTATATTTTATTTCCATCAGTATCTGACGTTCAATATTCTCCTCATCATTTCGTCATTATTTTCAACCTGGATAGGAGTATTGATTAGGCTGGTATTTCTAAATCTTGAATACCTTCGGCTTGAATTCATTTCCTTGTAGTTGTAATAACCAAAGAAGATTTTGTTCTCGATTCAGCTTGCATATAGAGTATTTTAAAGTAGATTTCTGCGTAGTGGCATATGTCTATGCTCATCTATCTTTCATTGTCAAACAAGTAAGATGATAATCTCTGGTGTTCAACAGTTAAAAGTAATTCTCCGCTTAGTAAACACTTGAAAAAAAGCAAACACAATCAGAACTGTTTTTATCTGTAATCATGTGAATGAAAATCGTACCTATTGATGCGTTAGGAGTGTACTCTTTCTGCATAACAAAACTTCCTATATTCACTCCTTACATCGTTCGAATTCCACTGGTATTCAGTCATCATTGTCCATTTGCGTGCATTCTTGCTGTTTCATGTTTTACACTTCCAGTTTTCTTGTTGTAATGTGGTTCTTCTCTTTTATGCAACAACGTTTTAAATGATCGTTTACAATTCTTCTACGCTGCAATATATTAAGTAGGAATTGTCTTTATTTCTTCGTTGTGCGAATTCGCTAACTGAACGATTTATCTGCAATGGGAGAATTTGATTTTGTTTGGTGTCTCACGTTTTATAGAAAGGAGTGGCTGGCTGTGTATGTCTGTAGACCAAATGATTTTTGTCACCACCGCATGTATTTTCAACTGTATTCTGTGTAGGGTTCAAGCTTTCATTTTTCTTATTATCGTGTCTTAATTCCATCTTCTCTGCTTCTAGGGCGCTGATTTTGTGGAAATGGATGTTCAGCTGACTAAGGATCATCAAGTCGTTGTTTATCATGATTTTGATGCTGTAGTTATATCGAAAAAGGTGAGTGAAAGTCATGTATTGCACTACCCATTAGTACCACTAAAAGTAGTACATATCTTTGTTAACGTTTAAAATTTGGTATGCAGACTTGTGAGTTTGACTCGTGTATGTGTGTATTTGTTGGCGAACGGTATTGTTCACATTGTTGTAGATAGCCCTGATGTAGGACAGTTCGTTACCAATAATGTTCGAGCGATTTCAGTTTAGATAGCACAAACTCAACTAAGTATAAGTATGAGCTGTGAAATCCGAGGATAACAGTGAACGACCGACTTTAAAGCACCTGACAATGTGTGAAGGATGTTTCCGTTTATCCGAGTTACTTGCACAGATTGCCAGTAATACATCTCGTAAGCGGAGTGTGTTAATTTTCAGATAGTAGCCTTACGGGTGACTGGAGTGCTGTTCTGAGCGAGATTCAGTTTAACTTGTTCTTAGTTATTGCAAACAGATCTGTAGAATAATTTAGTCAGTACTCGGTTAATATCAGGTAACGTAAATAGGAAACACTAAGTGCTCTGACGACTTAGTCCTCTTTGCCCAAACTACACATTTTTCTGTAGTGGAGGAAAGACTGTTGTCAGCAAAATTGACTAGATTATTTGAGAAGGTACGGCAGATTGTGTATGCTGCCGCATTAAAATCATCTCACTGTCGTAATAATTTTTATGGATAGCCTAAATGTCGTGACAGCCACCCATCGGAGGTAATTATTTCCGAACGACTGCGTTCAACGTTCTCGCTTGTGGTCTACTCCGCAGATAATAATAAACGGCTGAAAACTTGACTCATGCGAAATCGAATGGATGTGTTCAAGTCACTGTTACACACGCGCATTTTCTTCAATACACCGATCATGCCTGATCACTTCACGATAAAACTTTCATCTAAAATAAATAATAGTCTTGAATTCATGCCTCGTCATATCCTTATTTGTGTACCTGTACTGCGGCATCTGAAGCATAATTAACTCTGAATTGCTTTTCGTTCCGTGGTGAGAATTTGCCCCTAACTAATTCGATCTAATTTACGCCTTAAACTGACTGTTTAAACAGTTTTTACTTGTCTTACATTGAATTGCCCATTGATGGATTTAAGACTATAGAGTGTAACTATTCGGTTGTGTAATTTGCATTCGCATAATTGGTGTGGCTCGTTGTCTACTGCATGAACCTGTCTATGGTAGGCTGGGTGGACCAGTCAGGTAACAAAATCAATGAGGCTGAAAAATCTCCACTTAAATATTCCGTTTTTAGTGCCTAAAGCGAAATATGAGTTTACCTTTTGATCTCTTTCTCTCTCTTCCCTCCACCTTTATCAGGTGCCGTTTTTCTTATTGATTTCAGTGTCTTTCTGTTGTTTTTAAATAAAAGTTAACCTACTACTTCGTTGCCGTTTTAAATTATGATAACTTCAGTCGGCGCACTTTTGTTGTATGAGCATCTACTTTGACGTGAGTTATCGCTACTGAACGGGAAGTGAGTGCTAAGCGAAATAAACCATTTCTCTAATTGATAATAATGATGAAAGCAATGATCATTTTGTTTCTGATAATATTTTTGACACAATATGGAATTTTTACTATTTCTTGACATACTTGTTATTCTCCGTTGTTTTGTTGGATCGAATTGTTCTTCTGCTAGCCCCAACCAACCAAATTATCACAAGATGGAATTCTCAGCAAGTTTACTCCTTTTACAATATTTTCAAATGAAATAATAATAGCATCTAAATAATGTTAATAAAAACAGCACTAACAGTAATGTTATGTGACGACCAGCTGTTGTCAGTTTTTTATCTAGCCTATGGATGCGTTATTAAAGGGGGGTGGGAGCGGGTAAAGATACGCGTATAAGTTTAGTGGTGGAGTTCTATTCGGTTAGCTTGAGAATCTTCACTTTGTATTAAATATTTCAGGAAGTTATGTGATGTATTGTTGTGCGCTTAAGAGCCTATTACTTACTATCCATCCTGTTGTTGATAAGTTGAAAGGATTTTAAAAACGCACATTACGATTAAGACAAACCATAGAAGGAGTAATAGGATACAATAGATTTGATGAACACGTTTTCTTGACCTAAGCGTTTAGTCGGTCATGTCTTGTTCATTACAAGTTCATTATAAGTTTTAGTTTACTTTTGTTTCCGAGTAAATTTATTCATCATATTTATGCTATTGAATGAATTATTTAAGTAATTAAACATGACGTTCTTCTTACAATGTCCCTATATCTTTCATACAGAAAAGAGGTGGTCAGCTGTCTTATTTACGCATTGCAATCAAAGAGTTGAACTACGATGATTTACGTGAATTAAATGTCCGTCATTCAAGCGTACTGAAAGAAAGTCATTCGCATGAAAGTAAGTTGCTTCTTGTTTTCGTTACTATAATCTTATTTTGCAGTAGATTTGACACTTTTATTGTATACCTTTTATATATATATATATATATATATATATATATATATATATCAATTGCTTACTGGGTAAATATCATGTGACCATTGTGGACAGTTTGTAAGAACTATTGCTTTTTGTACAATAAGAACAGTTTTCACTATTTGGAGTAGGATAAGAAGAGAATGCACCCTCGCATTGATTCAGCTTAGAGATTTGTGGTTGATGATTTCCTCAGTAATCCTGTACACAACTGCTTCATTTAACAACTCAAATTGAAGTTGTACTGAATGAATATTTCTGGTATATATTTTTTTGCTGTATATCCCAAACGCTTAACACAGTGTGTTCAGCTGATATCTTTGTTTTATCAAGGCTGTTCATCCTCAGTAGCCACATCTCACCTGTGAAGTTGAGTCGAGAAAATTGTTCATACTAGCAAGTGATCTGCACACACCAGCCTCCTGTATGTTTCTATACACATCAAGATTTGTCGACTTTCAACCGCAGTGACTGTCTTCACTTCTCTGAAAAGGTAGAATGATCAGGGCAATGGAATAATTCACTGTTTTTAAACCAGATAATTACTTATTCACCTGAGACTTGAAGTATCGTTTTAAGTACAAGATGAGATGCTATATTTTCCCGGATTAAAAATATCTAACTGGATTGTATACTTTTTGTACTTAAAACTGATTGTAAAATAGCTGGATACAGAGTGTTGGAGGTATACTATTTTTACAGTTTCGTGGTGGTGGGCGGTTGGTATAATTATATATTGTACAATTTTTAGGTAGGGGAAATGTTAAATAATGAGTAGTTGAAATGTTCAAAAAAACTTAAATTTGACAAAAAATCGAACTAAGCGTTTACTATAAGTATTAGTTAGTGTAAAATTAATTTTCTTTTTTAACCTTCGGTTATCAGGCAGTCTTTGTCATGCTAAGTAGATCATTCAGGTTGTTAAAAATGCTTTTTTTGTAATTGGATTCGTACTATCATTCCCTAGGTTACTTTCCAAATTTCTTGCTAAACTAGCTCTGAGATCGAACGGATGATTTCGTATTATCTCTAAATTCCTTTTCTAATGTTTTAGGAATAATAACGTCAAATGAGTGAGTAAAAGAAAAGTAAATGACTCAGCAATCTTGTGCATGTCTGTGCAGTAAGCAATGAGCCACATCTCTTATGTAAGAGCTAATAGCACCTGGGTGCCCAAACCTCGGTAGGTGGAGTGGTACTTCCATGTTAGATTTATTTATTTGCTTTATAACGCATAGTAACATAGTATTATTTACTTGATGCTCATATCAATGTAATCACACTACTTCCGACATTTGATTTTCATAGTTACGTCACCCGATATGAGTTGTTTTTATTGGTAGCAAAATTTTCCATATCTCTAGTATAAGTGTTGCATCATTTCTATTACATGTGTTGAGTGTTGATTCGATGAACAAAGATTCAGTAATCAATCTCTCTCTCCACCTAATTATATTGGACGTAAGTACATTGGCTTTATCCCCCACCCTAGAAAAAAACTCGGCTATTGCTATGCACGATTTAACACACAACCACACAATAAGGTGGAGAGAGAGATTGATTACTGAATCTTTGTTCATCGAATCAACACTCAACACATGGCAATAGAAATGACGCAACACCCATACTAGAGATATGGAAAATTTTGGTACTAATAAAAACAACTCATATAAAGTGACGTAACAATAAAAATTAAATGTTGAAAGTAGTGTGATTACATTGATATGATTATGAGCAACGATAATTTATGCTCGAGACGTCATCAAGTAAATAATACTATGTTACTGTGTGTTATAAAACAAATAAATAAATCTAATATGGAATTAAGTTCTACCACAGTGCCCAAGTTTCACACCTATATTAAGGAGAGGTATTTCAACCTGTCACCTAGTAGTTGAAAGTTAACTCTTGAAGACACTGGGCTGCAACTCCATTACGCCAAATGAAGTTAATGATTTGACTATCTGAGATAGCCGTAGTTTGGCAGACTAGTATTTGTACTGGGCGATGATTAAAGATGAGATGGAAATCTGAACCGCGGCCGGATTCGAGCACACTAACCCAGTAGTTGCTGGTTCAAATCCGGCCGCGATCCAGATTTTCATCTCACCTTCAACCATCACCCAGTACAAATGAAGTTAAAACAAATTGATTTCTACATTTACAATCCAAGGTGAGAATTTCACAGTCACGTAGCGCTCTACTGTGCGTTTTTAGCATTTGTCAACTTGCGCCATCTATGGCCCCGAATGGCAAGATATCCATCTAGCTATCAAAAGACGAGTATACTCCCCTGCAGTCCGTTCTTTCCTACTATTTGGCAGGCTGTGACAGCCGTTAAAAGTAGAAGAAACGAAGTGGTTGCAGGTTTTCAACCACGTAGCATTGATCGCGTTAGTTACAATCACCATGTGAGCAATCTTGAGGTTAGGTGTACTAGGCAAGTCGATTGATAAGGTTGTGAACCTAAGTTGACTGAGATGGCTTGGATATGTACTTCACATACCGGGTCACTACCTACACCGATATACCATGCTAGGGTAAGCTGGGTTAGTTTGGAAGACGGTTCGTAGTGGCCAGATCAAGACGTATCAGTCGATGAATTCCATGACTTGGTTTGGACTGTATTGGGAGATGTAGGCTGCCTAGTTCAGGTCCCCAAGAGGATGCAGATGTATTTACTCGTTGACATCTTGTGAAGCTTGAATATTCACTCTGACCGTTATCTTGAGATTGTTTATTGTCCCAGACAACTTTATGTACGTCAATATCACTGGTTTTGTATCCGCCTATTCTTTGTATACTACTGTGAAGTGTGGCAACTTGAAATGATGCACCTGTGTGCGTGGTTCTACGTTGATTTTATCTATCTACTATGAAAGTCTATTGCGGTCTCCTTAGAGAAACCAGAAATGTTCTAAACCATCGAACCACTTCTGTCGAAATCAAAACTATAAGCTTGTAAGCTCTCAGTGCAGGGTTGTGATGAAGGGTTGTTCATGCCCCGAACAGCTTAGTGATAACGTCCCTGAGTGATGCAGATGTAAATATGCAATAGAACACAGTTTTCTTCATAGTCGCAGATATGCCTTGCTGATGAGTGTTCTGAAGCATGAAACTTAGGTCCAGGATTTTCTGCCGATTGACTTCCAACGTTGATCACCAAAGCACGTATTTGAATAGTTCCGATGTTGTTAGTGAACAGTGTTGTGTATATGCTTACCAAGCGTACGCGTAATCATGATGTAAAATAGCGATACAATCACTACATTACAGCTCCGACTAGTATATCTGGTCCATTTAGAAAATTTCAGTTGTATCAATTCTTTAGTCGTAAATGTGTAGAGAAAGTTACATCAAAGAATGATGTCAAGGAGTTATAATCTTTTTTATTCATCTACATTTGCATCCTACAATCACTCGTAAGTAACAATATTTTAGGTGTTCGTTCGTAAATATTGTTTTTCTTGATACTTGATTCTTCAACGAGATCTGGATTATATTCGCATTGTGTTATTCAGTTCTTTTTCTTCACTAATTTAATAAGGAGGATAAGCGAAACAAATTTCAGTGCTGGTCTTACATCAAGGTTTTTTACACTCAACTTTCGAATCAGTTTTCTTTTTTTTTGAAAGCATTATACCGAGTGAAAACCAGTGAGTGTAAATAAAGCTACTTCATCTGCAAAAGACATAATTCCAGAAATTTTAGATAAATTTCAAAGTGTATAAGTCATTGGAGTGGTGTAATAACACTTTGACACAATGAATTTATTCAGACTAATTAGTTGTGAACAGGTCTCTTTGGTAGGCTACACGTTACTCTTACTATGTAAGACGTGATTACATTACTACATGGTTGCTGCCGAAACGACGGGATTCGAACTCGTTGTTCAGTGGTTGTAACGATGTAGACAGATGAACACATCTCTTTTATGTATCTAGTTAGTTGTAAATCAGTTTATTTGGTCGTTAGTGCCAAACTGATATCGACTTAAAAGAGAAATCCAACTCCAGACTTATTAACAACATTCGCTTCACACATTGGAAGCGCCGATTAACACACCCATATTGTAAATGAAGGTAAAAGTTCTTATCCTTTGATCCGAATCACTAAGAGAATCTGAGAATTTGCGATTATAGTGCATTTCAGTGTATGAGTCAGTAACTAGCGATTTTAAACAACCTACTACTTTTTACACCAACTAATTTATCCTTCTTCATGTCGTGTTTTTCTGCCCTCTTCAGTTGTCGCCTAATTCTTTAATATAAATGTAAAATTTGGGCACTGTCATAGAATTTAATTCCATAGTTTTTTTCTGTTTCGCTCATACTGATGTTTACTTCCCTGTATGCTTTTTTTGAAATTGTAATAGTCATGACTTTGTCAAATCCTATTTTTGTTTTGCACTTATATATCTGAAGTTAAGATTTTAAAAAAAATCTTATCTCAACAAGCGGACTGTTTAATCATGAGAGAAAACTAATTGTCATCATATTGAATTATCACTTATCACCTCACTTTAATCTCTACCAGTTGACTTTTTAATATGAACATTCGACACAGGATTACTGGTACACTCATCAGTGATGTCAATGATTGGTTCCTTATTGGTACTCGTGTACTGTTAGACAACACTGTTTTTTTTTCATCATTGTAATTTAATAAGCATTAATTCCAAGATCCCTTAAACTGCTTTCTCGAGATGTTTTTGCACTCTTTCAAATGAATGTTTTAGTGATGGATGTTTCATCATCACACTAACTAGATTACAAGCTTTTAGATTAATGGAGGTTACTGGCTAGAATCAATAGCCCTTACACAATAGTTATGGCTCATTTTCTACTACATGAATGTACGCTAAGTTGTTGAGTGCATTTCAATTTCAACCTTGAAACAATAATTGTGTATGGCTAAAAGCCTATTACGCAAACCTGTATACGACTGTTCATATACATCGCTGTTACTGTTTGTTATTCATCCCACTGGTCATTAATTGACGGATGTAATTGGTCAAATGTAATCCGGTTGCACTGATATTTAATATAAAAAAGTGATGCAGTCGAATATCCTATCCTTTGTTTCACAATAAGCAGTTGTACCATGTTTGATGAAAATACTAAGCGATATATGGTGGTGCGATAAATTGTACTAATTTTTTCATCGATAAACAATGACAACTTATAAACATCAATAAATACACTCGTGTGGTTATACAATATAATGTTTATAATAACATCACAAACGTTATGTATCATTTATAGATAGACATTTCGTGTTATTGTATGCCACAAAACTGTTTCAATTAAGTGCAACTGAGAAATCCCATACAAGTTTGTGTACAACACTGTTCTAAGCGTAAAATCTCAATATAGCTCCCCTGACACCATCTCTGAAAAACAAATTCAGTTTTATTCTCATTGGTTTCTACAGATCTCTTGATAGCAATTACACACTCCAGTAAGTTTAAAAAATACAAAGTTCATGATAACCTTCCCCACCCTGTTATCTGTTTATCAAACGCTTAACTGTAAATTATCACAAAGTTTATGTAACAAATCATGTTACAAGAGTTCAGATAATTCATGATTGACAAGATTTAAAAAATATAGAAAGCTCTTAGTAGTAAACAAAGCAAGAAGTGAGTCTACGGAGACCAAAATTTTAATGTTACCTCATGTATATAGGGTACAAGTGGGATTAAAATGACCCGAAAAAAGTGAAATAAACATACGTCCATACAAAGCTGATTTATGTGATACATCAGTTAATGATCGGCTACGAAAAAACAAACAAATAGGAGAGTATGCCCGTCTGTACATACTGAGTACTTTTTCAGTATTTTATGATTAATAACTTCGCCTGCTTGCAGAGGATAAATTCTTATCGATTTTGACTGATAGTTCAATACCCTTTGAATCTCTTGGATGACGGATTTTATCCCCATTATATAACTGCTGTTGATTAGACGTGACCGACAGTCTTTCTTCCACCTTTCACTAACTAACCAAGTGGGTGCGACAGAGCTCATAATTTGTTCAGGATAACCTATTCCACACGAGCAATGGAATTCATAAATGCACATTGATTCGAACATATAAAGAACCTTAATTTTTGTGGCAAAATATATCTAGTCATGTAAAGTGGTTATCTAAAACATCTTTCTTAGAGATCGTTGTAGTCTGTTAGTGAGGATTTCAATCGAGTTAGCGCTTTTAAAATTGAAAGTTTAGAAGAAGTTTCTTTTTCTCTTATGCAGAAATGGCTGGTCGTTTCATCCTTCGTATATTCTTCTTAATATAATTTTCTGAATATCTATTTCCGCTGGATATGGTTGTGAGTTTATTCTTAACGCACTCTCCTCATTCCGTCAATAAACCATCTACTCTCAATCCATTTTTTTCTACCGGGAAATAAAGCTGTATTAGTTTGTGTATCGTCCTCTCCAAGAAAGTTTTCTACATATATTTCTAATAATTACCTCTTCTTGTGATCTGCTAAGAAAGTTATCCAAGAAACATTTTATATTTGTTCTCAAATCCATGTAAAAAAACTAATCATTCGGTGTACGCATCCAAAATTTCTGTTTTCTTCATCTACTTTGACTTTCTCGTCGTATAAAACTATCGTCCATACATATCATTACGTATCAAGAGAATCTTTATGTTAACATGGATATGAGCAGGTAAATTAGTATAGGTCCGTTCCTAATTCATTTATTTGTTGACACAAAGCATTGTTATTAACGGAGTGAACATTCATAGTAAATCGTTTTAAATTGCCTCAATCCACTGTCGATTCACCCAGTCATTCGTTTCCAGTAGTGACGCGTTTTAAATAATGTACTGACATGAAAGACAACATCATTTGCTCATGTAAGCCTTCGTCTTTCAATAAAACAATACATTTGAATATATATATATATATATATATATATATATATATATATATATATATATATATGTTTGCAGACTATCGTGGTCACTGTTTCCGAAAGTTGGGTAAACTTATTTACTACTTCATTGTATGGCGAAGTTAGCGTGCATAAAATTGGTCTTTGAGGATTTTCGAGAAACCTTATACCCTGAGATTGTCTGTTCTTCGTAATTTCAAATAGATCGGAATGTGTTAACGGTTTTGTTTTCAGCAATTTCTCTTCAATATTAGCTGTTAGTCATAAACCTCTTGGGGTTCTCAAATTTTAAAAGAATGCAATTTAAAATAGCCTTTATTTTGTCTTTATAGTGTACTTCGTTTCATTTATCTGGTTTGGTAACAACTAATTTTTGTTTGGATTTCGACTATTTGACTGCTTCCAAATTTTCGGTGTTGGCTTCATCCTCACCGGCGAGTACTAGTACACTCATTAACAAAAGTCTACCAAGGTTTACTTCGAAATTCCCATTTATGACTCAGGAGTTATGATCTACTGTTTTTGAATTGTCCTCTTTTATTTTTGTGCATATCAGATGAGGTTTGAAAGAAATACTAACATTTATTATTGTCATGCATGTGATATGCAAAAATATGGCCACATATTGTATAAAATAATATCAATAATTCCTAGTTATTTGTCTAAAACACTAATTTAGTACTTTTGTAGCCGGTTGGTTCGCGTACTATATAAAATGAACATGACCTATTACAAAGTTTACCCAATAAAGTGAATTGTTTATTTAAACCACGTGATTTTATTTTAATGATTTACATGAACAAAGTTAGTTGAACTATTTCTCTCTCACTCATTGAGCATTGATTACAGTCGGATAGGTATTTCATTGGTCAACTTTAATGCTCAATGGATCGTCTCATTCTCCTTCCGTGCAATTTTAACTTCAACACTTTATTCTCCTCATCGAATTCAGTGTCTGTGTACCATTTTTTGTAGGATAGTGTAAACCAACATAGACATACATACTTTCTAGCAAATCCTATCTCTTTTCAGTCACTCATTCAATCATATTTACTTTGTCGTCGTTACGATTTCATACGCTTGGACATTACTCCTAAGATGTAGGAGTAAGGTTACGTTGTGAAATGGTGGAGAATATTTGTAGCTCAATTGGATGATCTTGGTTGTGTTTTCTCTGAGCTGGGTTGTCTAATCGTAAAAAGTATGGAACGCTTCAGGAATTCCCGTGTACTCACTTCGGCGGTAAATGGACTAAAATTGTAACGATGAAGGTAAGATTAGCATGACCTCTACCCAAAGACGACGTGCAGATCGTGAAGCGTTTCATATTTTTCATGATTAAATGAATCAGAGAAAACAACAATACTATGGTTACGTTGTTTTCTGCGGCCAGAGACTGCACTGCAGCTCGTTCTGTCCTGATTTACGGCTGATATATGGCCGTTAAAAGTAAAAGTAAATCACCGTGTGCCCATTATTGAAGTCAAGCGAAGGGTACTAGGCAAGATAGGCAAGTCGATTGCTGAGGTTGTGAACTGTCATCAACTGAGGTAGTTCGGACATGTGTTGCGCATGCCATGTGACGCTCTACGTCGACCTACCATGCTACGGGAAGCTGGATTAGATAGGAAGAGAATTCAGGGTGGTTAGACCAAGACGTGGTACCAGTCCAAGAAGTCTCTTACTGTTGGTCTGAGCTGTGTGAGGGGATATAGACTACCTGGTTGCGGTCCCCGAGACGGAAGGAATGAGTGGTTGTAGATACATAAAATTGGCTGATTATGTAAAGAGGAAAGTGTTCATTCAGTAGTTAGAATAAAGTATGGAATTTATTAACAATAAATCATCAATCTTCTTTTTATTGACTTATTTCTCTTTTCATGCAGAAATGAATGAAGAAGATTTGGATCCAGTTGAATTACAACCTTTTCCTTTACTTCGTTCATGTTTTCAAGAAATTGATCCTGATTTAGGCTTTGTTATTGAAGTCAAATATCCAATGGAGTTCAAAGTAAGCTTTCTCCATTTTCTTTTCCTTTCCAAGTTGGCCTTGTTTCACAAATATCCTAATAGCCGAACGTTTTTTAAATTCCGATTCGTGACCTTTTATTTATCCTTCTAAACTGAGTTCACTTACAAAAAACTTATTTACATGGTAAACGATATAAATCCTTTCAGTACGTCTGTTGTTTAGTGTAACCGACAGTCACTTAGATATCGACAATATTAGAACCTGCTATGGCTGCATAGTTTATCTAATTTACTTGACTTTACATCAGCTCCAAGCGTGTGGATCCAGATGGGGCGAAAAAAACACTACCGTTAGTGACCTAAAAGCAGACCGTCATAGGAAGTGTTCCATTTGTTTAATCAGTCCCTATTGTCTCATGAGCTACACCCAAGGCTTCTACACGCAGTCAGACAATATCAACATGGCACCAGATATCGTTACTTATTGGTTTGATTTTTCATCAATTTTACATCGGTGTTGAGGCTAGAATAAGAAAAAGAAAAGGAATAATTATTATAATCGAAACTTTTAGAAAGCCACAAAAAAAAACAAAGAAGAAAGGTCGAAGCCAGTAGCGAAATACTTTATCATGGTAGTATTTTTGTCGAATAAAAATCGTCCCAACGGTCATAAGCGAGCCTTGATTCTCAAACATTTTCATGTCTCTGTAGATCACTAGGTATTGTAATAATGTTTATTTCCTCTCCGCATCTCCATTATTTCTGCATTCTCATAGCCCGTATTTACTTTTCAATCTACTCTATCACCTGATATGCCTAAGTCACCCCAGTCGGTTTATGTTCACAACCTCATCAAATAGCCTTCTTTAACTAGTACTTAGCGTCTAGCCTGAACATCGCTAACTTTATGGTCCCACCAGACAAAAGCGGTTCCACGAACAAACCTATGATCAATAACTTATCGTCTCGTCACTCATTTCTCACAGTTACAGCAAACTGTTGCGCTATATATTCATAATTTGATAATATGGTTGGATGTCTAACTGGTGCCACAGATGACGTAGGTTGATAAACACCAAACGGCCCTTTTGTACACCAGCTGAGATAACCTCAGCTATCACCTGATTTAGACATCTAAATGTCGAAGTAAGTGGCATGGTCAACATATTTCATCACTTCATTACATGCTCTAGGAGTCCGTATAGACCACTTCCGGAAGATCATCTGACATTTGTTGATTGGTAAACACACGTCAGCCAAACTTCAACATTTTATCAGTATCTTCGCTTAACCAGATTATGTTATGCACCTGCTCTTAGTCAGTCAAGTGCCTTCTGGGGAGTCATTCTATCATTGAAAAGTTGGGGTACCTAAAGTTTCACTACTTCTGTAGGAAAATTAAATAATGATTTTGAACTACCACAGATTTTCCTTACTTCAGAAGACAACCTTCCGTAAGCTTCTACATGGTTTCTTGACTTCGAGTGTGAGTCTGTATTAGTACTACACACTTGCGTGATACCCCTTTCACAATCAAACTCTATCGAAGCACCTTTCAGTCGACGGAGTCGAATGTTACTTTCGGGTTAAGAAGCTGTTAACACCCTTAGTATGTTTTTTAGATCCCTTATGTAGCCAAAATCCTCAGAACGCATCCGTAAGCAACCAGATCTGCTTGAAATTTTCGCTGCAATTTCATTAATACGCCTGAATACCTTTTTGGATGAATCATAAAAATTCACTATTGTTATCTTTCTAAAACAATGTAAGACACTTCAACGCCATTTGTGAATATGCGTATACAACAAATTCGACTGAGGTGGGTCGCATATCTACTGCGCATACCGAGTCATTGCCTACCTCAGCACACCCCATGCTAAGGGAAGTTGGATTAGGTTGGAAGAGCGTTCAGGGTAGCCAAACCAAGACAGTACAAATGGATGAATTCCCTGACCGTGTTGGTCTGGACCATGCAAGGACATATAGACTATCTGTTTAGGGTCCGTGAGCGGATGAGAATCAGTGGTTGAGAACTCTTGGTGACATGGCTAAAAATCGGTCACAATGCCGCAGATGTATTAACTCTTTGACATCTCAAGCTTGAATATTTACAGTAACCGTTATCTTTCGATTGTTTATTCTCTCGCACGACTTTTTCCACTTTGATATCATTCTTTTTCTATCAACCTGTTTGAATGGATGTCGTTGTGTGGCAGGTTCTACGTTTTGTCAGTTTATCAGTCAGGATATTGATTAGCTGAGGCGTTGCTACAGGCTGTATGAACTCTTCTTCAAAGTGCTAGTCACATGTCCTGAGAAGTTCTCACGAACCTATCCTTCACAGCGGTATTTTCGAATATCAGTCGTACAAGTGATTAGTTTTTATTTAAAATATACGGTTAATGAGCATGACGCTATTTAAGTTTATCGGTTACCGTTCCTACTTATGAATAGAGATCAATAATTATAGAGTGCATGCATTCACTCTCTGTAAGTCAGAAACCCTATATTACTCAACATCCATTTGTTGTATCAGATGGTATCTTCCTTATATTTATTTGCCTCTCTTGTCTTACCAACTGGAACAGGTAAATTATCTAAAGTAAAGATTATCGGTGGTGCTCACCTGAACTGTATCTAGTATGAAGATTTTCGGATGACTAAACTACTCTGATAGAGTTATTTCATCCTAATTTGTATCTAGGATGTTACTTAATGCGTCTCAAAAAGGACGAAATGCGCTTCATGGATTCCACTGCTAACCACTATCCATCATTAAGATCTTATTTTTATTCTTTACTCATTCGGTACATTGTGGTGTGTATTCCGTTTTTTCAATCAATTTTGTTTTTTTGGATACTGTTGGATGTAATTAGCAGTGGTGTCAAGTCTCTACTGAGGTATTATTCTATCTTGTATTCACTTCTTTTACACTTATCCGACAGATTAGCATAAAAAAGTACACTTATAGAAATTCTATTATCATTTAATGATGTTCGATGTTAGTGATATGCTGCGAGGATATGACAACAGTGAGTGATGATAAACAGGTATAGATTCCCAATAGTAGTAACAATGATCATCATAAGTAGTTTAAGTTTATTCAAAATTGCAAATTATTACATCTGTAGAAATGTGAAATCATGCGTTACATCAAAAATTAATAATAGCTGTTTCAATGTATAACATATTATTATCTAGAAATTCACTTTTTCATGACGTTGTTTAGACTATTATTTATGTGTACATAGGACACAGTGACCTGCTGAATCCTTATTAGACATTCCGAAGCCTATTCACAAATTTATTATGCTGCAATAGTAATTACTATAGCTTTCAAACTATTAATTCTAATCCAAGTCGATGGATGAACTTTGTTTGTATTCTGGTCACTAAGCTAAATATGATGGTGGTACAGCCCTGTATCAAGAGAAACCCAGTGACATGAATTATGTGGTGATTATATCAATGAAGAGACTTTTACAATATGGAATAAATCAACTTATATAATGTAATAGGAAAACGGAGGTTATCTGGGGAATGTAATGTATTTGCGCAATACATTTCCAACAATCTGACCACACAATTACTTGTTAAGGCATTTTATATAACTGCGGATTAAAACGGGCTGGGACAAAGTAAATAAATTAAAATAACACAAGGTTTGGAAAATATGGAATAGTAAGGAGGCATTAAAATGAAATAAAGATTACCAAGCAGATTTAAGTAAGGAAAAATTGTATTTGAGTATACAAAAGGGGTTGGACTTTCGTATAGCTAAGGCTTCAACGAACCTAAGTATACTGTCTTGATGGCTCCTATACAATGATCAAAATGCTATTTTGGGGTCAATCCTGTGACTTGTTTCTATAATGTGTTTACCTATCGAGGATAATGTCTATCTGTCCCCCTGTATTTATTGAATAATTTGAATATAAATGTCTTTCTAGTCGTTTAGGGATATTCTTTACCACCGTCGATGACTCCTCCCATTAAGATCGGCTGCATAGTATGTCTCTTTAATGACTGAAATAAGCCTTCATTTTAAGATCATATTGTTTGAATAGATTGTCTTATCTTAGGCATTGATGTCATTTATGTTGACAATAAGTTCAAAAGTATGTTTTATTGCGAGCTTAAATAATTGATTTCTAAGTGTACTTAGCATTTGTGCTAGCCATTTCGCCAATTTATGCACTGGGTAGTGACACATCGATAGATAGTCTCACCTCTTTCGCGATCTGGGCAGCCTTGCCAGCCAGCTTCATAGTTCGGACATTCTATGTCTCCATTCTCACTTTTACTTTCATCGGCCAATTGGCTTCCCGAAGGCTTTCACCCACTGGCGTCATTTCGTCTCCCCGATTCCAGCGAGGAATAAGTTTGTTTTTATGTTTTGTATTTTCATTGTGCTTTGAAGTTTCTGTAGCGGTTGAATTAGTTTTACGGGGTCGGGTTGCTAGCCCTACGCCCAACCTACCCTCTTTGCCCGGGCTTATATATATATATATATATATATATATATATATATATATATATATATAGTTTTAAAAAATCAACATATGATGGATGGGCTTATTTACTTCTCGTTTAATAATTAAAAGAATAAATTTTTTAAATCACAGCTAGTTTTTATACAAAGGTACGAAATATGCTTATTCTGTAAGAGTTAACGCCTGCCTAGAATTTCTTTGGAAATACTGTTGGAATATATGTTTTGATCGATTTAGAGTCGTGCCATACAAAATCTTCACTTGATGATATCTAACATCTTATAGACTCAAGCCAGTTGACCTACTCAGATCAGTGGTGAGAGACCACACCTCATCAATAAAGTTTTTCTTCTAATTCTGCTTTAGATAGCACTGCTCACCATTGAGCACGACTAGTTGATATCAGCAACACGTATCTCATCGAATAAGCTATCCTCTTTACCTAATACTCTGCGCTTAATTTCAACTTATACTGTTTGCAGGTTTTTTTTCTACTGTTGTAATTATTTTGATGCAAGCTTGCACAGTATGACTGCCAACTAATAAGTTACTTATTCAGTGGAAGTAAATTCTTAGTTAGTGGAAACACCATAAGCCCCAAGCCCTGATAAATAGCTGAGGGAAACGAAGATAGTTGTATGAAGCTTTGTGCTTCTTGTGTAACTAAATATAATTTTGAAGTAAATAATCCATTTGTGTTTTACGTGAGATAGACTTGTCCAGTAATAAAAGTATCTGGCATGTACTTCGTTAACGTGACTGTGGTGTTCTCTGGTTTCAGTTGCAGTATGAGAGATTATCTAACCTCACCTGGTTAACCAGCTCACTAGTTACTAGCCGTCCTAAGCCCGGGTAAAGAGGGAAGGTTGGCATAGGGCTAGCAACCCTACCTCGTAAAACAAATCTAACCGCTAAAGAAACCTCACAGCACAAACCAAAAATAAAAACAATTATTCCTCGCTGGAATCGTAGAGGCGAAATGACGCCGATTGGTGAAAGTCTTCGGGAAGCCAATTGGCCGATGTGTCTTCTCTTGATGAAAGCGAAAGTAAACTTGGGGACATGCAATGTTCGCACCATGTTTGAACCCAATAAGGCAGCCCAGATTGCAAACGAGATGAGGAGGTGTCACATTGAAGTGCTTGGAATTTGTGAAAGCAGATGGAATGGGAGTGGACTCTCCAAACTGTCAACTGGAGAATCAATAATCTACTCCGATATTGTCACCTAGACGACAACCACGAGCACACTCAGTTTCACAGTCGCTATCATGATATCCCCTTGAAGAGCATCGAAGGCTCTCTCTCTCCCTCTCTCTCATACAGTGGGAACCAATCTCCTCCTGGTGATAGACCACAGTCCAAGTTGAACACCCAGAACAGAAACTGAAGGACGAAACTACAAAGGAAATCTTCACGTCAGCCAGCCATCAAAACAAAATGGGAGATATCGAGGAACATTCTTGAAGAAACCTGTGTAGAAGAACACTGGAAGTCTTTGGAAGAGATGTGGGAAGAAACCTGTACAAGGTAGGAAGAAGAAAGAAGATAAGGAATGGATCTCGATGGACACATGGAAGCTGATAGAGGAGAGGAGGATGGTGAAACAGAAGATAAACCAATGCATGGATGCTCAACGACAAGAGAACTGAGTACAATGTATAAAACACTACACTGGACAAAGAAGTGAAGAAGAGTGCACGGAAAGACAAAAGACACTTTTACCACACATTGGCAAGTGAAGCAGAACAGGCTGTTGGTAGGAGAGACCTGACAACATTGTATCAAATAACCAGGTTACTTGCTGTCTGGGAAGAGATCAACGCAGATGAAGCCAATAAAAGATGATGACTGAAATTTAATTACCAAAGAAGTTAACAAAGGAAACAATGGACTGACCACTTCAAAAAGTTTTTGAATCGACCACCACCTGCACTTCGTCTAGATACACCACTTGCAATCACACAACTACCAGTGAACATAAATCCTCCAACAAAAGTCGAGGTCCTGAGCTCTATAAAGCTACTGAAATGTGGGAAAGCAGCAGGACCAGATGGGATCCCACCAGAAGCACTGAGAGCAGACGCAGAGACGACAGCGGACACCCTCACACCACTATTTCAGAAGGTGTGGGAGGAAGAGAAGGTATCTGGCCATTGATTGGAAGAAGGGCAGTCTTGTCAAACTGCCGAAGGGAGACCTCAGTGTTCGCAAGAACTGGCGCGGAATAACGCTCCACTCC